TCCCTCAGCAGACAGATGCAGACAGAGGCAGCCCTAGTCTGTATTTGTAATGCATGTACTGTATCATCCTTCAGCAGACAGACAACCCTAGCCTACCTATACATAAATGTACTGTATCATCCCTCATGCAGACAGAGGCAGTCCTAGTCTGTTTATATACATGTACATACATGTACTGTATCATCCCTCAGCAGACTGAGGCAGCCTCAGCCTGTTTGTACTGTATCATCCCTCAGCAGACAGATGCAGACAGAGGCAGCCCTAGTCTGTATTTTTAATGCATGTACTGTATCATCCTTCAGCAGACAGACACCCCTAGCCTACCTATACATACATATACTGTATCATCCCTCAGGGAGACATAGGCAGCCTGAGCCTGTTTGTACTGTATCATCCCTCAGCAGACTGAGGCAGCCTCAGCCTGTTTGTACTGTATCCTCCCTCAGCAGACAGAGGCAGGCCTAGTCTGGATATATACATACATGTACTGTATCAGCCCTCAGCAGACAGAGGCAGCCCTAGTCTGTATATATACATACATATACTGTATCATTCCTCAGCAGACATAGGCAGCCTCAGCCTGTTTGTACTGTATCACCTCTTAGCAGACAGGGACAGCCCTGGTCTGTATATATGCATACATGTTCTGTGTGTATCATCCTTTGCAGACAGGGTCAGCAGTAACCCATATCCTTTAAAGCATTACTTAAAGTACCATCCTCCACAGCAAGGGATATCCTAGCCTTATACTACACACATTCCCCTTAGTAGACCGGTGTAGCTGTAGCCAGTATACAGTTTGGTATCGTCCCTTAGCAGACAGGAGATCCTAGTCTGCATTTTTATCCCTAAGCGAGACATAACAAATTTCCAGATTATTACATCATAATTGCTTCCATTTCTTTTCAATGATGACGAAATAATCACATAGGAAATAACACAAACAACACCATGCTATTATCATAGAAAAGTATTACAAGATTTCATGTGAGCAAGTGTTACTTTAAAGGTCATCTAATTGTCTTTTTACATATACTTATTTACATACATATTGTTTAAGACAATGTTGAGGAATGATACTGTGCCTTGACAATTATTTGCGTGACATTGTAGAACATGTGAAATAGTAAATCTAGTACAATTTATTGAATTAAGGCAGAATATATCTAATGCATAAATATCTACCATTAATTCTGAGGTTTTTGAGGTTTGTTTAATATGTAACAAGAGCAACACAATTATACTATGATTTAAGTACATGTAGCTCTGTTCACATACTTAATAACATATATACAATTTGGTTTTATTGTCTGGTGTATTATACATTCTGTGCATGTATGCATTTGGACAAGTATTCTACATTGGCAAGAATTAACTGGACAGATTACTTGCAGAATAATTGAAAGTAAACTTGAAAAAATCAGAGGAAAATGCTGTAGTTATTTCCATAAATTAAATCTACATTTGAATTAGAATAATATTTCAAAATAATTTTACAATAAAATTGTGTAACTTACTTTTAGTAGTATTAAAAACAACTTTACATGTTCACAAGAAAAGCATGCGAGGACAAAAGAATCATGGCTAAATTTTACACATGGATTTCAAGTTCAGTACAAAATTACCAACATAGTTACCATTGTTACACTAATATAAGAAGTATATTTCAGGTAAATATACTAATTCTGTCAGGTTTTTACGTATGGAATGTGTTTCAGTGACATGTAGATTACATATTAATGAAGTGCAGTTCAAAGTTGTAAGGTATCATCACTGTGCTGCCTATACAAATGTATCTACTGGGTCTGATTTGAGATGGACAAGTCTTTTCTAAAGTTTTGAAATATCCTGTAAATCAAATGTCTTCATTTAATCTTTCCATCTTATATGTCGATACATTTTAACAAGAGTTTTATCTAATTAACAAGAAATGACTATTGATTTGAAATTTTCAAAAACAACAAATGAACAATTTTCCCAACTAGCTCATCTGATATCTAGTTTGCAGATTCTTGCAATAATTGAAATTAACAAAAACAAGTCTGAAGTAGCAATCACTAATTAGGCTCTTTAACGTAAATTTGTCAAGAGATCATGATAAAAGGATATGAAACGCACAGTGTCAAAACAAAAATGAGTTACATCACAACTACAGACTATCCAACTTCATTTGGTATCTCAATATTTCAGATAGTGAACAAAATATCCTATCAATTTTAACATAACTTTCATTAAACCAACAGTCATCATAGGGGATTACAAACAAATCCACTCAAAACTTCATTTGAAAATTACTATTTTTTATATCTATATTTGTAAATCTAGGACCAGAACAAAATGTGTACAACACTGTCAACATAATCAGCAAAACAACATTTGAACTTTTTTTTTTTTTAGTCATTAACTATTGTTAATTGAAAAATAGTTTGCATTTGATTAAAATACAACTTCCTGGATATACCCCGAGACAACACAACTTTTACAGTAAAATGACATAAGATTAATAAAACTCCGTTGGATATTTTGTTCGTAACTATCTCAAATATTCAGAAACCTAACTAGGTAGATACACTGCCACAATCCTTTTGTTAACAGTTAAATGTTGCATTTTTTAGTTTTCAGAAATATGCACAGAACATTTTGTGACTTCATATTAAACTGTTTTGCAGAAATATAATAAGTAAGAATTTTGTTTTTTTAATGTTTCTGTTTTGTTTTATGCCTAGGACTGTTTTGTCTCATTCCTGTAACTAGGATGTCATGGGTAAAGACCCAGCCTGATTATTGTACATATGATATATCATTACTGTTTGGCATGTTTCATGCAGTATAAGCTATTAAATTTGTATGCATGTCTTTTGAATATTGTGGTAGCTCGAATGTACACCCAAGATATTTTTTCCCATCAACCTAAGTCTGTCACCATGTGCCAAACACAGTCAACTATTTAAGGTTTCAAAATGAACTCCTTGGAAAACATTCTTCATTTTGGTAATGGGACAGACTCTCAGCTGGACCACTGTATATGGGTTTATTTTACTGAATATTTATTATTAATCATAATACAAGCATGCACTTGTCCTACTTGTGGTAACTAACAATAAAAGTCTCACTCATAATCAATCTTTATCTCTTACCAGTTGATTTCATAACTTCAATATCAAACTATTAAAACCCTAGTTTTAAATGAAACTTTGTTCTTGATATTTCAGTAAACTTGAAAATGGTCCAGCTTGCAATATGGTGTAATACTTAATCGTCAATCGAAGTTATTGTGAATTGTGCTACACCCCCTGTAGGGAGCTATTATGTATACACTGCCATACTGCACATTAATACCTACCAATAAACAAGAATGACAACTATCTGAATTATTAATTCATAAACAGACCTACATTGTAAATAGAAATACACATATATATAGGATTAATTTTAAGTGGTGGTAGGGAACACCTTAGCCCTCATGATTACATAATGATTCATGAATTTTACTTAATCATTGTGAAAACAATATATCCCTAAGGCAATAATAGTGTTGATTAAAAAATGAAAAAGTCGTTTGTTTTTACAGTTTAAATCTCAAGTTTTTAACCCAAAAACATCATCCATAGTAATCAAAACGTTGGAATGAAATATTTTTTATGAAATTTAATTGTTTCAGTCTCCTGCAGTTCAATATAAACAAGGTTTCACAGCAGATTGATAACGTAGACATACTTAATCAAAACCAATTGTCACTTGTATTAATTGATCGAGGAGAAAACAACAGGTAATATCTATCTAGAATGAGAGCGATATGATTATTTACAGTAATAAGTACCTGTTTAACCAGGTTAACAACCGACATCATTTCAAGGAATTAAAAAACAATAAAAACTTTTTTATATATTTCAATGGACTGAAACTTTAAAGGGAGGGAACTTCCAATATTGGTTTTATTTCAGTTAATAATTAATCATGTCGTAAATAAAAATTGGTGCTTGAAAACTAATCAACAAATTAGTAAAATGTACTTTGGAATATGGAGAAACAGCATCATGAATCAAAATATTAACTAAAATGCCTACTTCTTTCAACTCATCTTTTCTATAAACATTTTTTATAATTTCAAATTCAAGGGCCTGTATAAACCTCATGGTATAGACAAGATTTGTAGATTGACCAAGGAACAGATTCCTTTCCTAATTCAATTTAAATGCTACCACAACTGATATTACAAAAATATACCACGGTTTGTTTGCACCCACGTGGTGGTAGCATAGAACGATCTACATAGACCTAACAAAAGTAAAAGCATTATTTAAGGTGTTAGTAAAAATCTCATTAATTAACCAGCTGGATCTCCGGAAGGAATATGAATGAGGTACAAGGGTGGTTTTATCATCAGATACCTGCGATTGATGTCAATAAGGCAAGCTTTAATACAGTTGATACTTAACATGCCTCATGATATAGAATTAGAACTAATGTTACGTAAAAGAGGATGCAGGTAGGTCATTGAAACTGACGAAAAGCTTAAGGGCTTTTTATTCATATAATATTTGGCAAAGTGCACATACAGGTGTTATATGACCAAGCAAACAATAGTTCCCAGTATGATAAAATGTTGAAAGAAAATATCCAGTATTCCAGCAAATGATCACTTTGAAGCCAAACTACAAAGCATATATACTCCAAGTAGCAGTGAAATAAATAATTAGTTAAAAAAAAATATGTTTCAAAATTACTGCCAGTAATAATGGATACATTATCATGGACCAACTATGTAAACTGAATAGGAAATAGGAAATGTTACAGATGAATTCAATAGGAAATCAATTCAACTTTTGGGAGTATGAATTATAAGTTCACAAATGTAATGTTTATATACGAACCAGGTGATCATCACAATTAAGCTGGGTTATATTATGTCCCGGAGATTTGAACATTGTCTTTACAGGAGGGTAAGCTTTACTAGGTTTTAGAAAGGCACTAAAGAGTTTACATGAAATGACTATTAAGTTTTGTAATGAGAGCTTTATTAAACACTGAAAAAAGCCAAAGTGACAGCAATACTTTCCAACAATCCATAAAATAGCATATTGTAGGGAAAAAGTCACATATGACTGCAAAAAGCTGAACAATTTGTAAGTGATCAAAAACAATCCCAAAACTCCAAACATTTGTTTTAGATCAACGTCCTCTTCCCCTGGGACAACTTCAATTGAGCTGATGTATGAAAGAAAACACTTCTTTAAAATTTTATGTTGATATTGGAGCAGTTATATTGGAATGCCATATGCTATGGCAACACTTGTACACATTTTTAAGTAAATGAGTGTAAATTCAACGCAGTTCATAAATCAACTTGAAAAAAAGCTGCTTTCTAACTAGTGTTGGCAGCTAAAGCTAATTTATGCAATTTGATATAAGCAGTATATGAAAATAAGAAAATCCGTTTGGTTCCCTTACAGACCCATATAATTATTCCTCCTTATCTGTACTTAACAATTTGAATGGTTTAAAAACATCAAACTGGAATTTTTATTTTCAAATCATCCTACCATACTGAAACAAAATCAATTTAATGTAATCATATATTAACGGTACTATCAAACTTATACATAATGGAACTTTTTAAGCAAATGTTTGGGTGAATCAAAGAGACTTCTAAAAACCCATACATCCTGCCCATGTTTCAATTTAAGCTGTGCAATTTTACTTCTATTCATATATTTCTCACTTTTCAACACTCTGATCCATGATCTCAGTTGAAAAGCCCTCCAATTAGTATGTTGTGCTCTCACTGAGCTGGAGATTTTTTGACAGCTGCACAGACCGAAGCAGTGTCGGGGATCTGTATTGGTATAACTAATTAATACTTAGTAGTTAAGGTAGGAACCGAGCTTCATTCTTGATATAGCCTGTTGGTAACAAATTACATTAATATATTTTATATATAAATAACTGCAACTCAACAAGTACACATTCACATTATATACTAAATAACTAGTTCAAAGCTACCAAGACTAATACCGTCTATAATGAGTATGCAAATTCTGACATTTTAATCAGTTCCATTTTAATATAAAACCCACATTATTTCAAAGTTATTTTAATGGAAGTTATAAATGGAAGTTTTTGATGGTGAAGACAATCAATTTTACCAAGTAATTAATATTCATATTTTTAATCCGAATTTAAGTACTGTATACTGAGAAAGTTTCGCCCAGTCCAATATTTGCCCTTTGCCGATAATATCAATGTTTGCCTTGTGTTAATTTCCCCACTCACATATAATTACTATATAGTGTATGTTGTGAACTAATATTTGCTGTAATGAAAAACAGTGGAAGTTAAACTGCGGCAAAAATGTCACGGTATACAGTATCCTCCTCAAAGGGGACCCGTTAAACTCTTTTAAAAAGAATATTGGTTTATAATCAAGGTTATATGTAAGACAGACTTAATCAGGAAAGTCCTAAATATAGTATTATTGACCTTCGCAAACTTAAAGTCTTTCCAAAATGAGATCATTATGGATGGACACCAGGTCATTTCAGAACCCCAATCACTCACCAAAATATTAACTATCAAGTAAGGAGAATAAAGAAATCATACCACCGATAGTTGTAAACGAAAATGTCTCCTAGTCCCCCACCCCTCCACCACCACCCGCAAGTGTCCTAATGTCTGTCTCTTCATACATACATTGAAAATTTAGATTCATAAATCTGTTGTTGACATTAAAAACATAATTCATCCTTTTCATCAGAATAAAACTTGATATATCAAACGGCCACTGTTTATTGTATTTATAATACTACAGCACTTGATAGACATATTTGAAATCAAGGATAGAGCTGACTAAAAGTTAAGGAGCTGGTTAGTATCAGGGAACGCTAGCTACTCTATTAACATATCTATCTGGTAACACCTCCGAGACCCATCCAGCATTCAGGTATGTTCAGTTCTCCATATTCATTGTTTATATATGGAAATCTGAATGAACTGAATGGAATTCAATTGCAACAGGCCACAAGACATTTTTAACAGCTGATATACCTCAAATTGTTTATCTTCTGTTCACCGATATATACTGCCATATGAACTTTTCCGAAAAAACATCAGAGCTTCAGTATAATCTAGAGATACACAGCATCTTAAAACAAAGATAAGAGAGTTTCTATCCTTGTCTTGCTGTTTGTTTTCAGTATAAAACGATTGACATTCACTTTTTAGTGAAAGTTTTTTTTTCATGTTGTGACTGGAACAGAAAGGAAACAAAACCTCCATCGGTTTCTTTAGCTTCAATACTGTTTTTCTGTGAATAACATATGATGTAAGTTCCATAGCAGAACTGAACTGCAATGGCACAGCTTTTCCTCTTTTCTGATGTTCATGGAATAACTTTCTTTAACAGAATCAGAACTGAAACCCATCCAAGGCGACATTTTCTGAGGGGTTGAATTGGAACTGCTGTGAATTCTCATCAATTTGAGGTGCTACTGTTTTGTCTTCCTCTTCCGTGCCAAAATATTTTTCTATCATGTCAAATGCCTTTTGATATATTTCTCTGTTTTGATGGCTTTGAAGAAACTCTATTTTGTCTAAACCTGAAAAAGAAGATATTTTAAAATCAAAACAAAAGTAAAGCTGTATGCCTTTTTACTATCATAATGGAATTTTGATGTGAAATAGAAAGATGAATATAAAGCGCACACACACACACACAGGTGATTGCAATTTTAAAATTTGGTTAGCCAGGAATGAATTACACTGCATCACCTTCCTGGACACAAAGGTGATGCTAGGGACCAATGAGTTGTAAACACAGTGTGTTGTGTAAATTTGACATGTTTCACTACAAATATCTGTTTCTACAATATAGAGGTACTAGTACGTTACAGTTATTTGACAGCTATCCTGTTCAGTACTACAGGACCATGACACTGTTTAGAATTATAGGATAATATGACCCTACCACTCGAAATTATCTTTGTCCATGGCCCACTGTACAATTTCCTCCTTCTAAGCTGCTGATCACCACCCATACATTATAAGTGCCTCCCTGCCCCACTACCAATATATTTTTTCTAGAACAGCCCTTTAGTGAAAAGGTATATTGTTAAGAGTGTGGTTCTGCGAAATACTTCATGAAAAATACTCATATTTTAGAATGAAAGAACGTTTAATTATATATCAACAGTTGTATTGTATTACCATAGCATTCTTCAATCATGACAGCATATGGGTTTGTGCCATTGTGTAGTTTTGCGTCCTGCTCTCCCAGCTTCAGGATATTTTCCAGACCATTCAAGGCCACCTGTACAATCTTTGCATCCATCACAGTCAAAAGATCACAAAGTGGGGATATGCAGCCTTGATCCACCAGAAATCTGTGTATAGAGTATTCAATTTTGATAAAATATGCAAGAAATGTTTAAAAATACAGTAGGAACAGATAATATAAGATTCTGATACTGTACCTTAAAAAATCTCGACAGACAACAGCTGACAGACAATCTACCAAATCGTCTATCTGTCTGTCGCATAGAAATTATTTGAAGTCCAGCTGCAGTTCCAGAACACCAATACAATTTTCAGCCAAATCAAGAGTTAGGTTTGGAATATGTTACCAGGTAACTCAAGATTTAACCTGTAACTCACAAAACTCTATATTCATGCTGCACCACTGATATGTTAGTTCGTAATTTTTGGCAGTGGTACGAGGATCTTCAAGTAGACAGCTGGTAACTTCTACAGCAGTTCTACAAACAGTAATCCACTGTTACTACTATACTCTAAATTCCACGAAAACTTTCCTCAGGAGATTACACTAATGCAAATATTCTTCCAGCAAAAATAAACAATGACTACCAAATTTCAATTACCTGATCTGTTCGGGTGAGCCCCCAGATGTTGCATTTGTTATCGCCCATGCTGCTTCCTTCCTTGTTTTGAAATCTGCTTTTCCTAATATATCTATCAGTACTGGGAATATATTTGAATCTATAACACACTGAAATAAGAAGAACAAAAACTACGTCAGTATGAAATGGAAGACAAGCAATTGGCCCATGAGGTATTGTTTACCTTTGAGGTATTTCATGATTATTAAGTTGATAGCTCTTTTCCCTACAGGCTTGACATGATACATCATTGTTCTTAAATCATCTGAACTTTGAAATTAATTTGATATTATTTTAATGACTCATACAGAAGAAAAAAAGGATAAGGACATTCATTTAACATAATCTGATATTCCTTCACGTCAGTAAGATACTGGCCAAATATAATGACTCTAATGCAAAACCTTTTACTAAAAGGAAACATAACAGAAATATATCTATTGTCAATGCCATAGGAGTAATGCTTTTCAGAAATCCATTAGTAATTCATTTTCTTTCAAGTTTACAACTCAAAAGTTATGTGTTGCAAAAGATTTTAAACCAAAATATTTATTGTCTAATTTATAACAACGATTTTAATTGAGCCTGCTTTAAATTTTACTTTTTAACCAAAACTAATGTTATTCTGACTTAACCTTGTTCATCATAATGACTTCATGTAAATTTTTGTCTGCAACTTTTCTGTGAGTTACAACTGCAAATGAGCATTTAGTGCCTGAATTCACAGCAGTGAATAGTCTGAGAACTTAAATAGATCACAGAATGGTGATTGTGTTATGTCGTTGCTGACCTGTATTTGTACTCTGTTTCCTGCTGTGATATTTGATATTGTCCAACAGGCCTCTTTGCGTATTGATTCTTTGGAACTACTGAGAAGATGTAAAAGACATGGCAGCGCTGAACAGCTCAAGATCACCTGCATAAACAAAGATTATGAACCAATCAATATCATGAAAGACAACATTTTATTTACATAAAAATGACAATAGACTTCTAGAATAGGATATTAGGAACAACACAGAGCTTTCCAATACAAGTCATCATTTCGTCCACAAGTACCTAACTTTCTTCCCAGTAACCAGTAATAAATACTTTATAATGAACTGAAACTTCATAACATCTATCAATAAATCTTGTATGATTTCACAATGTTTTGTTTGCTATAGCACTTACTTCTTAAATTAGCTGTACAAATATATTTAATACTGTCTATTTCATTTGTTTTGTTGACTTTATGGTATAAATAAGAGTTTCACAATTCAAACCTCATTTTATTGCTCATGCTAAGACAACTGCTCTATTTTTGAGGACATTCTTGGTAATTTCATGCATAACAGAAATATTTCATGAGTAGGATGATCGTATTTTTCATAAGTGTCTATCTGGAAATTTGCCTGAAACAACATGGCTGATGTAATGAAAAATGAGACATGTGTTTGTCAAAACGATCATCAATGATTGCCAAACATTTAGTCCCTTTAACAAATGGAACAGACAGTAGCTAAGCGACATGGTTTTATAAGAAAATTATTCAAATATATTTTTTCCCAAAAACATTATACAGATGGTAAAAAGACATACCTGTGTTTGATAGTCATCCCCTGTCACTATGTTTCCTACCACACGTAGGGCAGCAGACACCACACTCTGGTGGTTGTGCCTGACAACATGAAATACAGTTATCATTAATGAAAATGTATGCAGTCATAGAATTTATAATTTACACACCATGGACAGTAGGTCTATGAAAATGATTTAGTCATTTACTTCAGTTTTGATAGACCAGGCTTTGACTATAAAGATTTTTTTACTCACATATTTAGTGTTTGATACCATGAAATTGCGTAAATAACAATTTAATAGAACAATTTTTTGCTCCCAACTATATTTATCATTGAATCATACATATCACAGGAAATCACTTTATCGACGATCTCTTTCTGCCACCACATTGTCACGTCATTATCTGATAAACAGTGAAATGACTGATCAACGATACTATTTTAGATGAATGTTACATTTTCACAGAAAACATTGTGAAAATATAAAACACAGATTTTTATATCGCTGAAAGACAAATATTTGGGAAATCAACTGACGCTTAAAGGTGCCTTACATGAGCAGTTCTACCAGTCTCCGACATACACCAGAATCTATCACAGCTTGTATTTTCTCATTTGGGCCATCAGACAAGTAGGAGAGTGCCCAACAGGCATCTGAAAGGACGTCTTTGTCTGTGTGGAAGAGGAGCTTGGCTAATACTGGCAGGGATGGCAACACCTAGGAAGAAAAACAGATACTCATACCTATATTAGTCTGTATGAAACAACAGCAAACAAGAGTTCCAACTGATGAAATATTTAATAAACAAAGAACATAACAATATTTAAATCTGCAGAACTTAACCTGATCCATAATTTTGAAATCTCAACTAAGTGGTGTAGACACAACCCGGGAGCCACAGGTTCCCTTGAGAATGGGGGCGGAATCTGAGATACCAAAATGATATGGCTCTGCTGCTATCTTCAATGTTTGATTGTTTTGGTTTTGTATTGTTAAACGTCTTGTCAACAGCTATGGTCATCCAAGGCCTTCCCTGTGTGCAAGATGCATGCGTGTAGTGTATGCGTGTGTATTTTGGGAGGCTGCAATATATGTTTGTGTCTTTCCTTGTGATAGCGCGGAACTGATTCAAACGTAATAGTGCTACCTCACTGAAACATAATGCCGAAGACACCCAGCAGAACACCTCACCCGGTCACATTATACTGACAACGGGCGAACCAGATGTCCCACTCCTAAATTGCTGAGCGTTAAGCAGGAGTAGAAACTACCATTTTTACAGACTTTGGTATGCCTCGGCCAGGGGACAATACCCAAAGCCTTCCTCACAGGGGCGAACGCTCAACTAAAGGCCAAAAGTGAGGCATTGTCAATGGAGACATTAGGAAGAAGAAAGTAGTTTATAAAGAAGGGAAAATAACCCAAATTTGGTTGTCTCTTACGATCATGCAATGAGGGCAGCAGGTTCAATTCTTATGCACTACCTACAGGGAAAAACAAGGGTGAGGGTGACTTAAACTGGGGAGGATGGTGAATGTGTCATGGTGGATGTGTCAGCACATCTTTTTGCTAGTTGTGAAATGATGCAGTCATTGTATCTAATGCTGGATTATTTTTTCTTTTACAAATCATGTGTTACTGTAACCAAATGTTTAGAAATGATGCTGTTTGATGAAGCATGGTCTGTTGATGAATGCATAGCTAGGTAGAACCCGAAACAGCAGAAGTAATTGTGCATTAGCCAAAACACACACCGTAAATGTAGAAATAATTGGGAAAACCACATTGGTAACAAATTGTGTTTGGTACTTTAGTCTGAAGCACATTTACATGCAATTTCATATTAGCCATGTCTAATACTCAAACTTCAATTACAAGTGTTGTCATAGAGTGCAAGATGTGAATGAAGAAAAGATCTTCTAAAGCTTCACTAAGTTTAGATTTTGATGAATATAGCAGATCTTCAAATTGATGATGCTTTTTATATAAACAATTTCTATGTTGTTGGGAGATTTAGATAAACAAGAATTGAATTTAAGTTAATTTTCAGGCCAGAAAAAGTTAAACATATTGCTTTCAATATCAAAATAAATTGCAATCCTGCTTCGATCAATGATGATTTTTTGATCTTGTTTACATTTAATTAGATAGATACCTTGCACATTCTTTAGTAAGTTTTACCTGCATTATATTAATATCAAAATTAATTTGTTTGTGATGTCGAACAATTCCACTAAAGTTTGTGCTTAAATTGAAATATTTAAAAACTTCATTCTAACACAGAATCCATATTAAAGTACAAATGGCTATAAGTAGCCATGTAAAAAGGGAGGTAACTTGTACAAATTATCTTTCATATAATGATTCTAAAAGAGCACATCTTTAATACTGCAGCCTTTAATTCTTCTTTAGAATCTATAACATGTGTCTGAAGATATTTGATCTTCAAAATTGTGAATTCGACAACAAAGTCTTACCTTGCTAAAATCAGGAGGTGGGTTTTTCCCTCTGCATAAATTGGACAAACACCACACTGCATTTCTTGTCATTGATAAACTTGTTTTCTTGCTTAATAACCTGAAGAACAAGACAGTAAAAGTTTCATAAAAAGAACTTTTTAAGGTGCGTCCTAAAACGGTGCAATTTTTATTTTTTAACTTCATTCTCTGATAATGAAATTCATTATATTTGTATATTTCTAAATACACATGTAAGCATTTAGGTTTCCCAGCTTAGTAAGTCCTAGTGAGACAAACATCTTTTATAAATAGTAGATGATGACTGTGACGTTGGCCTAAAACACAATCTTGTTTTAGGTTTTCTCATACTTGACTATCAGAATATAATTAACAATGACCTTGAACTTAGTACCAGGAAACAAACACTCTTTGATGCATTTTCATACTTGACTATTGTATAAATTTATTCAAAATCTATTCAGAAATGGCATCACAACATCAATGACAGCAAGGTATGCAGATATTAGCTAATAGACAAAAACTTTGGTATAAAAATTAACAAAGGACTTTATCTCTTTATATAGTGGGGCACGAGACCCGAATTTAGAATGCGACACTCCTACCTCCCAAGATACATTAAAACTATAGCAAGTTTGGTCAACATAGAAGAAATAACATGGAAGTTATATTGTGGACAAACTTCAGTATTAAAAATAAACAAAGGACTATAACTCTGTATATAATGGGGAACAAAACCTGATTTTCGTGCGAGAGATATCGCCTTCCCAAGATACATGAATAAGGTAAGTTTGGTCAACGTAGGTGAAATAACATGGAGCTTATGCTTCGGACTAACTAAGGTATTAAATTTTATTTAATGGCAGTTGTACTTAACTACACATTAAATAAAATCTGAAAAAATAATCCAGTATATCCCTTTATCAACTTTGGTTACAGAATGATTCCTCACAAAAATCTAGTTCCAGCAACTTACTGTAATAGTGGGACAAGTATTCCCTCCCCCAACACATAATCTCGACATTCTGGACTGTCACCAGCAATATTTCCAAGAGCCCACACAGCCTGCAAACATAAAAACAGTGTTTATGTTAGTTAACATTACCCATGTTAAAATTTGTCTCAATAACCTTCCCATTTACCTTTTAACTACAAGGAAGTAAATAATCTGACCCAAATGAGAAATGATACCCAAACTAACTTAAGTAACTTCCCTTTGAACAAAAAGCTTTGTTGTTCAGCTAAATAGCTTTCTTTATGATGTCATAAACATAAATTATATGCCTTTTGTGACCATTTTTACTTCAAATATTTTAAAGAAATTTGATATCTGTTCTTAAAATACTGGTACATTCATTTATACTGTTTTATTTGGAATAAAGAAAATATATATATATATTCACTGAATGTAAAGACTACATTTTTGCAAATGGTTCCAAAATAGAAATTAGATCAGACATTAACTGTAATTCTAAGAATGTTATTTACTCTTTTATATGTAAACAATGTGGTGAATTTTATATCGGACAGACCGTATGTGAATTGAGAATACGAATGAATGTACATAGACAACAAATGAAGGACAATGAACTAAGATTTTTAAAAGTTAGCAAACATATGCATCAATGTTCTAAAGATGATTTTCATGTGTTACCTATTTACAGACTGAATAGCGACGATGTAGTTGCAAGAGAAATTAAAGAAAATATGTTTATAAAAGTCCTCAAACCCAGCTTGAATGCACAATGATTTTTGCAATGTATTGTATGTAGATGTTTTCTTTGTCTTGGTATTGTTTGTGACGTCACTATGCTTGTTTATTTATGACGTCACTAAAATTGTTGACTATACAAATATTGATGACGTCATGTAACCAACGGTGATAAATAAACCTCAATCCGCCTGAAGAAGCCCTAGAAGGCAGAAAGGCCTAGCGGACGATCTGAAAAAAATATGTTTTTATTCTATATTTTCCTTCGCAAGGACTTATTTATTTATTATCTACTATATATATATATATATACTTCTCATCTATATTACTAGGGACTGTAAAACACCATATAAATTCAATCCTGACTGAATGACCAATTATATTCAACAAGATGCATTATAACTGACTTGTATTTGCAACTCCATGTCAAACATGAAGAAACTAATACTGTTTTTTAGTTCCTTGCCTCGATTGACACCTGACATTCAATCTTTGTTGAACATGTTCACAAGAGCTAGAAAGCTAAATTTGGTATGACCAATTTTGAAGTCACCTAACCTTGGCTGCACCACATGACCTTTTCTTATCAAGAATTAAAATACTAGATCTTACCTGTTCTTGCACATCCTCTATTTCTGAGGCTAGGAGTCTGATAAATATAGGAACTGCTCCAGCCTCAATTACGATTCGTGTCTGTATGGAGGTACCAGAGGCAATATTTGTTAATGCCCAGGCAGCCTCAAACTGAAAAAATAAAAAAATAAAATGCTTTGTTACAGGTAGTTTGAGATATGAAGAAGGAAATTAAAACTTGAACCATTTCGCATAATTTATGTCTTCAGATACAACTAAGCATGTCAAGATTCAAAACACACTGAGCAGCATATCACCTACGAATCCAAGCATATACATATTTTGGGCTGAAGTAGGTCCAGCCAAAAAATTAAATGGTTTTGTTGCAGGTAATTCGAGATATTAAGAAGGAAAATTAAAACTAGAAACCATTTTGCATAATTTATCTCCAGATAGAACTATGCAATCTTTGTCATGTCCAGAATCAAAACACACTGAGCAATATACCACATAAAATTTATAAATTGGCCGTTCATGCTATAATGACACTCCATGAAAGAAAAATGCCTGTTTGTAATTGATGAACTGTGATCACTTACCATTGTAGTTTCCATCAAGTATCTCTAAGCAACATTTAAAACAAGTTCTTTTTTCAGGCAGATGTATGTAGAGTAAAATAGAACAGGTCCACATCAGTTTATCGAGATCCAAACGGTTGAACCAGTTTAACCAGAGATGTACGTTTATGAAATAAGGTCGAACCTAATTCTCTGATGCTGCTTTGCTTGCATAAACATTTGCAGGTCCGCCAGGATTTATACCCAGAAATGTTTCATTTAAATAGACAAACCAGTTGAACCAGATTCACAAAAGGGGCCTAGGTTTGCCTATGTAGTTACACTGCTCTAGATGCTTGGAATACTCATACAAAGCTCTGAATCAAGTTTTGTGAATAGGTTTGCATTAAACAAGAAGTAATTTCCTAAACAGTCAGTCAAACTGTGGTTAGAAAAGAATTACTAATAATTAAGAGTAAAACAATCTCAATATACAAGCTACATTTAGTATCACTTACTTGGAGAGTGCAATTTCCATCTTTCTGTAAGAATTCTACAAACTTTGGCACAATCCCAGTCTGTATAACTTCATCTATTGGAGGGTTTGGTTCTGAAACAAAATGGATCTTTACATTCCCTAGAAGAGATTAAAATCTATATCTTTAACTCTTTTTGTTATTTTTCAATGCTCATGATTTTTGACTAGCTAATTATTATGCAATGTTTAAATAATCACACTTTTAACATTATTAGTGACAAAAATCATATTAAACAGTCAAGATGAGGTTTTAATAACATCATATTTCAGTGCTACATGTACACTCACTAGACGATGTATTTATTTTTCCCTTAATATCATAAAAATATATGTCCAAAAGTCATCACATTATTGGATGAAATTTGCTTTCTTAAATCCAGATTAATACTTCTGCAAGTTACAAAACATTTTCATGACAAATCATAGCATAGGATACAAGAATGAAAACCTTAACACCTCAATAGATGGCTAATGGTAATTCAAGGTCAAGATTTAACATTTTTCTTCCCCATGTAGAAGTATAATAGCTTCAACTATTATCAAAATTACTTTAAGAAGTCAGTAGCTTCTAATATCTACAAAACTTTAAAAGTCAATCATCAAATGGCAAAGACATATATGGCTATAAGCATATCCAACGACCAAGCTAGATTGAATTTGGAGCATATTTAGAAGTTATATCAATTGCACAGAAATATTAACATAATTCAAGCTCTCCGATACATTTAATTTGGCTAAAAGCCTCATATCATGTCAATTTAAATCAATTTTCTATTGTGAACAATGAGGTCATGCCAAACAAGACTCATTACTGCAGGCATATAATAACTAACTCCTTGACATTTTAAACATATAACTAACTCCTGACATTTAAAACATATAACAAACTCCCGTCATCGCAGGCATTTAACTAACTCCTGACATTTAAAACATATAACAAACTCCCGTCATCGCAGGCATATAACTAACTCCTGACATTTAAAACATATAACAAACTCCCCTCACCGCAGGCATATAACATATAACAAACTCCCGTCATCGCAGGCATATAACTAACTCCTGACATTTAAAACATATAACAAACTCCCGTCATCGCAGGCATTTAACTAACTCCTGACATTTAAAACATATAACAAACTCCCGTCATCGCAGGCATATAACTAACTCCTGACATTTAAAACATATAACAAACTCCCCTCACCGCAGGCATATAACATATAACAAACTCCCGTCATCGCAGGCATATAACTAACTCCTGACATTTAAAACATATAACAAACTCCCATCATCGCAGGCATATAACTAACTCCTTGACATTTTAAACATATAACTTACTCCTGACATTTAAAACATATAACAAACTCCCCTCACCGCAGGCATATAACATATAACAAACTCCCGTCATCGCAGGCATATAACTAACTCCTTGACATTTTAAACATATAACTAACTCCTGACATTTAAAACATAACAAACTCCCGTCATCGCAGGCATATAACATATAACAAACTCCCGTCATCGCAGGCATATAACTAACTCCTGACATTTAAAACATATAACAAACTCCCGTCATCGCAGGCATATAACTAACTCCTGACATTTAAAACATATAACAAACTCCTGTCATCACAGGCATATAACATATATAACAAACTTCCATCATTGCAGGCCTATAACTAACTCCTGACATTTAAAACATATATAGAGGATCTGTCATAAGTTTCCCTTCATATTAGATTTATGATACTCGTTTTGTATTTTTTTTATGTTTGCGAGCCTTTGGCAAGCAAATATGAACAAGAGGCCCATGGGCCTTAACGGTCACCTGATATATTTATACAGAGAGTTGATTTTCTTTTTAACATGAACAGAAATATTATTCAAAGTGACAAAAAACAATAAAACCACCTTATTCAATATGTAGCATACAGATTTAAGACTAAAAAGTATTTGAAACGAGCACCTCTGATTCTAAACAAGGAAAATGAAGAAATTTTAGCACACTGACTCCTTTGGGTCCCACCCTACAGCCCTTGGGGGTAGGGCTGGCTCAAAATGTAATATTCAAAGTATCATTTGCCATTATAAACCATAATAACTTTTGCCGCCCCCCCCCTCCCCACCCTTCCTTCCCTAGGGTCTAAACATGAGACCCTAGGGTCATAAACCTTAAGACTAAGACCCTTCAATCTATGGAGAGTGTTTGATTCTACCATATCTTGGTCTTGAGAAGAAATTTTTTGAAATTTCAGTCAATTCAACCCTTTTTGGCCCCACCCATCAGCCCCTGGGGGTCAGTCAGGGCTGATATGTGCATACTATCAAACTGCTACCTAATACTGATAATGCTAACCTAAATTGAATTACTTCCAATGGAAATTAAACAAATGTTGGTCCAAAATGTGATTTCCCTATATAAACTATAGTAAAGTTTACCCCCTCCCCAGGGGAAAACGTGAGACCCCAGGGTCAAGAAATTCACAATTTTGGTAAAGCACCTTAAGACCCTTCCATCTATGAAGAGTATTTGATTCTACCATATCTGGGTCTTGAGAAGAAGATTTTTGAAATTTTAGTCAATTTGACCCTTTTTGGCCCCGCCCCTCAGGCCCCTGGGGGCTTGGGACTTAACCAGCAACTAGTTTTGTTGACCTTTGTCCATGGAAGGTTCCTGCAAAATTTCATTTAAATTGGTTCATTGGTTTTGGAGAAGAAGTCGAAAATTTAAATTGTTTATTGACGCACGACGGACGACGATGGACAAAAGGCGATCGCAATAGGTCACTTGAGACTTTGTCTCAGGTGACCTAAAAGTCTCAGGTGACCTTAAAATCCAAAACGAGTATCGTAAATCTAATATGAAGGGGAATGAATGGCAGATTCTTTTTATCATATAATACAAAGTTAACTGTATAGTTGTGATCTGAAACGAATATTTTGCACTTGGCCCACTCTGAAATGATGAAAATTGTGTCTGCTTCACAATGATTGTTTCTATTCGATTGTGATGTCATTTCCGAAGTGATATTACACACGTTACAGAAACATAATTTACGTGATGGCTTTAAGACATTGCATAACACAGTATTCATATGATAAAACTAAATCCATCATTGCAGGAATATAATAAACTTAAGATAAAGCCCTTACCAATACAACCGATGTGTTTTCACTATTTTCCGCTGACATTCTTACAATTCCTCAACTTTATCAGGGTTCATCAAACTAATCATTAATGCAACTAAGTCAAGTGCGTAATTCATTTTACTGTGTTACCTCTTGAGAGGAGTTTTCTGAACTTCTGAGTTGCAACTTCTTGCTCTTGTAAATTGTCACTGTATAAAACCTGTACCATTTCTTGAGTTATTCCACCCTGAAAATTTGAACAGAATGTATGAAAATATCAAATATGTTTTCATTTTATGATTATTCTGGTACTAAGATGATATCATGATCAGAGCAACTGATCATAATATGATTTTAACGAAAACTAAAATATCTTTTGTCCACATACAACATATTTTGTCCACATATACATCAGTGTACAATGGATTTTGTCCACATATACATCAGTGTACAATGGATTTTGTCCACATATACATGCAACGTATTAGAACTGATCATGTTTGCTGGTACACCGACTGTATACATGTGCACACCAAAAATTGATGTATCAAACTGTGTAATGTAATCATTCACAACAAAGTGATTACATCTTCACAACAGCTAAGGTGATGGTTTGCAAAAAAGATATGGCCATTACTGAAACCTCAATCTTTATATGAATCGTAGCCTATATTTTTCTAATCAAACACTTCCATACATATATACCAATGTATAGTAGTAATATTTCATCAAAATTCAATTTAAATATTGACAGTTTAAAATGCAATTGTAGAATTTGAAGTTTTTAATTACTATATATATAACTATCCCATTTGCACTATTTAAAAATTCTACCAGATACTGTGCTATTAATTACCAACTGGTATTTACCGTATATGGAGTAGAAGATACAAAGTTGTCTTGGAACTCCCCAGCCACTTCATCAGGTGCACCAGTTGGCATGGCAACATTTCGACGTTTGAATAACTGCAGAAAAAGTACACTTGTAATTTAGATAATATATGTAGTATTATGTACGTGTATTGCTAATCTTTAGATATTCTTGACGTTTATCAAGATATTTATAGTTTTATATAAAGCAAACAATTACTGGAAATTAATTGTACACTTTCAGGCATTATGAAAATCTAATTTTAGCAGGATGCTAAATAACTTGATATGACTTTTTTTTCCACACCCATTTCCAGAAAATTATTGAACAAGTGTCATCATATTTCCTAATTCATGACAAGCTCGATTAAATATTTCTTGATTCTGCTTCTGAAGACTACAAAAACTTATTTGATTCTTTTGGATTTTGTTTGGATGTTTATCATACTTGTTGATCTCTCTTTTGTTTTCTGATTTGAATGCCTTCCTCCTCCCTCCGCCTACGCAACTCTTGCGAATCCAAAGCTTTGTTTTTGTAAGCCTTTAATCTATGGCTAGCAGGGCTAGATGAATCTGCAGACATCTGAAGAATTAAAATCAACACATAGCCTTGAGAAAATTCATAAATATATTTATTGTCAAGGGTTAAATTTCCATGAATATATTTTTCTAGACATTAGTTTTAAACTTTCTAAAATATTGCCATCCCAATAATTACTTTTGACATTTGCAGAAGAGAGAGTATACAAGGTCTACCCATATGGACAAAGAGAAAGGATGAAAAAAACATTATGTTATTCAAACTTGAACTTTGGGCAGTAAAAGTAGAAGCTGGGCTGGGGTTGTCTACTGTGACTGGGTAGCTCAGTTGCTTAAAATGACCGTTTTTTTGTTTTAACGACCCAGGTTCGAATCCTAGTCTGGCTGTTGCACTTTTCCTTTCCAGTTACATTTGGCACCCATCTATATCTGCAATAGTATAAGGTATATTTTCGGGTAAAAGAATCTGTTGAAGGAGGAATGTACTGGAACTGGGCTGGTGTCGAGTGAAAATGCTGGTAGCTCAGTTGGTTAGAGTGCTTAACGTTCTTATCCCAGGCTCACATCCTGGTCTGACAATTACACTTTTCCTTTACCCTTTTCTAAATTCTTAGAAAAGAAAGCTTAGTATGCAGTAAATGACATCTCATCAACAGTAGATACTGAATTATAGTTCAATACCTACTGTTTTTATAGTGTTTCTGACTATTCTAAGTAGGAATTAGACAGGAGTTATAGCAATACGAAATTAAAGACTGAATGTAAAACCACATGCAAATTAAATCCCAAACAATCAAATTTTGTCTGTCTCTCGGATAAACCACTTGTTTTGTGGTGTAATTTTGTACGACGTCTGAAAGAATTCACATATCAGTAAGTAATTTAGTCGGATGAAGTTTGCTTGAGTTAATACACTAAACGAACAGTGATCTCATTACTCACTTCGATTGGCATTTATGTGTTGATTTCAGTTCCCAATAATCCGATTCGTACTTTCTTCCCTTCCACTTCGACATTCACAAATAAAAGACGAAGCGAGCATGCGTTTCCGTAAGATGTTATTTCGCGGAAAAATAAAATCAAATTTATCTAGAAAAATAAAATCGTTAATATATAACAATTTAAATTAGAAAAACTTCAAGTGATGTATATAAATTTAGAAAAATGAACATGAAATTAAGATTAACGTCATTTTGAGATTTACCGTGATTACCATTTATACAACATGGCTGCCTCCATGAACAAGGAGTGTGACTGCAGTGATTTTATGAAATTTCAGGTATTTGAAAAGATACGCACTGCTAAGGGATTTTGAACGAACCTGTTTTGTGAATGATAAAAATGTGTTACAAGCTGTCATCCATGAATAAGTAGAAGTTTGGTATTTTAGATCCATAGTATACCCACAGATAAGCTTAGTGTTTACCACGAGTTACACTGACTGGTTCAGGAACGATAACTTTGTTGAGGGCCGACGCATGTTGTCGAAATAGTTAATGTCATGTAACTGTCACTGCTCACCTGCCATGTATGACTCTCTACAAGTGTATTTTTAACATTTTACCACCTATTAAGATAATGAACTTGTATAACAATAAACGAAGACAATTCTGCTGACCTCTGTAACAGGTGAGGTCATGCAAGAATAGTAGTGATGTTAGTATTTGTTGGTTACAATTCGGAACCTGGACGATTTTAGAACCCTTTATGTCTGTCTTTCAATCCTCTCTATGACTTGTTTAGTCTATTTGTATGATAATATGTGTGTATGATAATATGATTTTTGTGTCATACGTATACATGTATGTTTGTTGAAATTGATATCCATGAATAATTTTGTTATTATATATTTATATGTTTCATGTGAGGAGAGCTATGATTTAGCAAATGGCATTGTAATCCTCATAAAACAAAAAAAGAGGCAATAAATAAATTTAATTATGAATTAAGAGACGCAGTAGCACATTCAGGGGGTGGTTGATACACTAAATTAATTTCTTGTAATGTTTTTTTTTAAATAAGGGAACATACAGATGGCTTTTGTGAGCGAGTCATGTGAAAGAAAACATGTCTTTTTATAGTTATTCATTATTTCCTGCACAATGTTCAAAAAGATGTTTCGGGGGAATTTTGTAAAAGATGTCAAATTTGCTATCATTTTAGAGAGCTTGTATATAAAACCTGTATACTAGGTAGTATTTCCAATTCATAGCTACCAAAGTTATTTTATAATTCCCATTACAGAGTGTTGCAGGGTAGACACTTTTAACATCCTTATTATGTACAATTGGTTATAATGAATCAGTCATGGACTAGAATCGAAGAATCATGTTTCATTACATGCATATGCACCTCAATGAGGGTCAAATTGACTAAAATTTCAAAAATCTTCNTTTGAATATTACATGTTAATAACTTGATTGGAATTATAACCCTGAGTTGACAGTTTGATACTTTGAAAATTTTGGGGCTCAAAGGAGTCAGTGTGCTAAAATTTCTTCATTTTCCTTGTTTAGAATCAGAGGAGCTAGTTTCAAATACTTTTTAGTTTTAAATCTGCATGCTAGATATTGAATAAGGTGGTTTTATTGTTTTTTAGCTCACCTGCCCGAAGGGCTAGTGAGCTTATACCATGGCGCGTCGTCCGTCGTCTTTTCCTTTTAACGAGATCTTCTGAAGAATGGACAGGTCTAGAGTCATGATATTTGGGTGATAGCTTCGTTGGTAGGAGCCTGACAAAGTTTGAGAATGAAAATGACCTTGACTTACTTTCAAGGTCACAGCGGTCAAATATGTAAAAACTCTTTAAATGACTTCTTCTGAAGAACTAAAAGGTATAGAATCTTTATATTTGGCTGTTGGCTTCCTGATAGATCCCGACAAAGTTTGAGAACTAAAATGACCTTGACCTTCTTTCAAGATCACAGGTGTCAAATATGTCAAAAACATCAAACGGCATCTTCTGAATAAAGCATAAAATTATAATATTTGGCTGGTGGCTTCCTAGGATAGAGCTCACCAAAGTTTTCGAATGAGATGACCTCAACCTACCTTAAAGGACAGAGATCAACAGCATTTTAAAGGATTCGTTCTTAAGAACCAAATGGAATGGATTCATAGGATTTGGCTGGTAGCTTTTTGGGATAGAGCTAACAAAGTATGAGAAGGAAAATGACATTGACCTACTTACAAGGTCACAGGGAAAAATATGTCAATTTACTTCTGAAGAAGAACCAAAAAGCATAGAATCTTATAGTAATATTTGGCTGGTAGGTTCAACAGATGGAGCCGACAAAGTTTGTGAGGGAAATATTTGTAGTGCAATATAATATTGAATGAGAATATTTTGCTATGACTGCTTAAATATTCAGGTGAGCGACACAGGCCCTCTGGGCCTCTTGTTGTCACTTTGAATAATATTTCTGTTTCTGTTAAAAAGAAAATCAACTCTCTGTATAAGTATATCAGGTGACCGTTAAGGCCCATGGGCCTCTTGTTTTTAATACTCTTCTAAAGAACAGTCACTATGCTTTCCTATGGTATGTAATTCAATTCTTTGTAAGTTGCTGATGAAAACTTCTTCTGAAATACATTGTTAAATGTACCCCTACTCCCTTATTTTCAAAACTTTCTTTGACCACATGTGTCAGGCTGAGAAAAGCTGACAGCACTATAATTGGTACTCCAATAACATAAATGGCGCTGGTTGGCTGTTTTTTTATCGAAAAATTTGGAGCCATATGGCAATGCACAAGAAGGGAATCAAGACGAACCATTCTTGACTTTTTCTTATGCATTGTTTATTTTCTTTACTTTGCAGGAATGTTTGAAGACTATGCGTACTGTTGATGATAGGATTATACATGGTTTGAACACAGCAATACCCACCAAACTTTTTGCAAGCAAAGTAGATGTGACAGAAACTTGTAAAGGTCTTTATGAAGAGGTAAGATCAAAGGGACATTATCCAGAAATTAGTACATTTTCAGTGTGTTTACTAGGCTAACTAATGAGGTAAGGAGCCCTGTATTCAAAGCAAATATCATATATAAGTATTTCACAACATTCCTTTAGCATTCCTCCCCGTCTTCTTAGTACACCAAAAGATTCCACACTGCAAACTGATGAGTTGTTTTCGATACTGAAAGTAGCCCTGCTCTGTACCTTCTCTCACACTGAACACTAAAACTCTACTAAGTTTGTATAAACATTCTGTTAGAAAAGAGCTTGATTCTCGTGACTTCATTCTAAAACCAAAAATATATATGTTTCAGGTACCCTGATCACAACCCTTGATTTTACCTCCAACCCTAACAATTTTATTGACTCAAACACACTTAAATGTCTCGTTCCAACTTACCAGAGAAGTGTAAGGGCCTTTATGACACCTCTTTACTGCATAGACAGGTATCAAGTCCAAATTGTAGTCCTATGTTATTATTTAAAAGACCTAAAAATATAATTTTCAAAAAAAACAACCTAATAAATTAAAAATAAATCCCTTCTGACCTTCCCCTCTTTTTTTTAGTTTTGGCACAACGGTATTGCAGTTATGATCCATGGTTTGGTAACACCTCACACAGTACATTTTGATTATATAAATATCTTCCGAGAACTTTGTCCAAAAAGAAATTGTTTTTAACTTTCTGCTGATAACATAAATTGATTGGTTAATTTCTTCAATTTATGTTATATCAGAATACCAAAATAAATGTAAACTTGCAATTCAAAAACAAGTTGAACTTGCTTCATAATCATTTAATATTAATATATATATTTCATGTATGCTATCTAAATTAATCAACCTAATTTGTGAAAAATCTGAGTTACCTAGGTATATCTTAAAATAATTGCATGCATGATAGAAAGATTTTAATAATCAATCATGGTTCATCATGTTCTTGGTATTGGGTATTACCATTTAGCTACTTCAGATTGTGTATGCAAATATATGAAGTTTGTAAAGATTTCCTTATAAGGCCCACCCATCTGCCCCAAGGGCACTTATGACGAGAACAACTTTTTTCAATAAAAAAAGTCTTGAGATTTATGATGTGCATATTGTTTTGTTTCAGATTATTCAATCACATCAGGCTAGAGAGAGGGCTATAAGGAAATGTGTAACAGAATCAGGAGATATAGTCATGGAACTGAGTAAGCAACGTGATAACGATATGGACAATATTGAGTTGCTGAAAGATCTACGGACAGCACAAACAAAGGTAAAAGCAAGAGACAGGTACAGGAAATTCACATCATATATATTGCTGGGGTTAAGTAATACATCAAACAACTTTCAGTGATATTGTAGAAACTTTTCAGTGTGTTATATAATTTTGATAGCACATACATCACAAACATCTACTACAACAAAAACCAAACGTTCAATTTTAAAGTTAGAGTACACTACACACAATTCTTTGTTCAAACAACTTGTGCTGCTTTCTCTCCCTGTACACTGCCAGTGTTCTCACTAAAAACAGGTCATCTTTTTAGTGTGCTCAACCGCCTATTTCAAAATTTGGTAAGCGACTAATAATTTACTAACTAGCCTGCTGACTGAGAGCTATATGTCCATCTGTTAAGTCCACTTGTCAACATTTTAGCCTGCATGGTACAATTCTTATCATTCACCATCTGCCAGTTAACCTTTTACCTTTTCATTTTCTTTTTAAGAACAGCCATTAAGACTTTGTCCAGACTTGGCACGGATGTTCTTTTCATAACATATCAATGCTGTCTTGGTTGATTCCATAAATCCATTTTGCTCATGTTGAAATAATCCTTTTCTTTCACGATTTTAAATAAAGCTCCTTCTTATATGGTTACGTATGTTCAAATGTCTGTGTATGGATCAGTTTTGAAAAAGATCACTATATAATTTTATGTATGTAAAAGTGTACTTGTTTACTATATACCTGTAAATGTGTACCTGGATATTCATCAATATAGACATATAAGTTAACAGCAAACTGTTTAAGTTGAAGAAATGTTGCCACTTTGTGAACAGACACATGGTAGTTCGGTGTTGAAGATGAATTTGTGTCATATTATCGATCACTTGGTATATCAAAAAGGATTCTGTGTCATAGAAGAGCACTAATACAATGATGATAAAGGTTACTTCATTTTAATGCAAATCATCTCATTCCAATTATGTATATTATTAGGAACTAATTTTGGGCATTTCTGAACATCCATGGAAGATATTTTTGACTTTTGCTCAAGTACCAGTTTTCCAATTCTTACCCAACTTCATATAAATAGTCCACTAAATGCTGTATTGAAATAGCTCGATTAACAACAGTGATTGCCACAGCCTCTAACTGGCATTATTACCGACACGTTTAGGTATAATTAATTTAGACTTATTTTGCAGCAATATGTCAGATTCCTACAGCTGTTTTATTATTTTTTCAGTTGCGGCTAATGAAATCCGAATTCTATGTAGATGAAATTGTGAATGACAGAACGTTTAAAGTAAGTAATACCTCAACTGTCTACAGAAAATGATATCATATGCTTAATTTGTCTTTTTAAAATTACATGTTCATCAACTCTCAGGCCAACTATTAATAAGTGTTAATAAACCAGCTGATTGTCACATTGATTGGTTACATCCTGATTTATGGAACATTGTCTCCAGGAACAGCTCAGGAGACTAAATTTTGTCATTTTCAGCAGAAAAACCCAGTCAATATGGAACCTTTTTGGTACCAAAAAAACAGTCGCAAGTCATTTTGTACTGGTTGTCACTACATGTATATATATCATATCAGAATGGTCATAACAGTCGAGTCATGGCAGGTTTGACAGTATTCTTACATGTATGCATCCATTTACAGTTTCCTTTTCCACTCCCTAATTTATTTATCAAAAAAAAACCACTCAACAATGATATCCGACATTGAATAGTAAACTTCCAGATCTTCAATTTGTTTGGAGTTTTCAACATTGAAATGAAATCACGGTTTCCCAAGGTGAAGAAATTATTCTGGCTTGTAAATTTTTAGATTAAGGTAGCACATTACATTCAGTATTATGTTTGACTTTCAACTCATAGACAGTTCCAATGAGTGTATTAAATCTATTGCTTTTTATTTTTCAGGCTTTTTATGAGCGGTGTGGAACAGCGCTCAAATTTCCAAATAAGCCTAGATTGTGAAGACTGATCAATAGACAATGACAGTGTGTGCGAGGCTTTTTATTTGCTGGATGAGTGATTGAAAGATAGTTTTTTTAGTAACAATCAAAGTTATTATAAAAATGACAATCTGATTATATTCATCTGTTACATGGCTTCATTAACTTCTTATGTTTAACAGATGATTTTAATCACATTGTGAAAATGATAATGTGTTTAGGGAACAGAAAATATGTCAAATCATGTGTAATAACTCTCTTTGCTTTACATGGCCCCAATGAAGACAAAGTGTATTTCGGGGGGAACAAACTGCCAGACAGAATCGTAATAGTTTGCATAATGCAATATATCAATAACAAATTGCTATATTATTTGTACTGGTACATTTCCTTAAAGAAAATGGTTAACCAATCTTTTAAAACCAAAATTCATAAAATATATAATGGGTGTGATGTCATAAATGAAAGAGGTATTGATTGTAACAAGAGTAACCTCCCTTGCTGTTCATGGTGAATAGCATTATAAAATTGAGAACAAAAATATTCTCATGAATGTATTTTTTTTAATTTACCAATACACGTTGTTTTATGAAACATGTTTAAGGTAGAGTGTGCGGCCAACTTTCACAGTAACACAGGCCTTAAAACTTGCATTAATGTACATTCATAGATTGTCTTTACAGCAAGTTTTAATATTTTGAAATTATCCCAAGATGAAGAAAAAATGAACATTACAAATACCATGACCTGTTGCCAGTGGTTATGTTCTTTGCTTTATAATCACGAGGCTCAGCTATCAAGTCCTCATAGGAAGATGTTTTTGAAGAAATGGAATGTATATTCGATATATTTCTTAAAACATTATTCTTTGCTGTAATTGCTCAACGAACTTAAAGTGGGGAAATGCAGAATAGATTGAATCACTTCTTCATTGGAAATACAACACAACGCACTGGGACACTCTACCTTAAAACTTTGTCTGGCTGATTACTCAATTGTACATCATTATCTGCTGCAAGTAAAGAGGAACATACACTTCTGATGTGGTAGTTCTGTTGAAGGTTGAGTATTGGTATTTCTGTGTGGCAGTTGGTGTAGGTAATACCTATATTAAATTGATTTCTATTGTAATTATTTTTGTATTCTTGTTTTTTATAATTACATGTAATTTTTAGGCACCATATGCTCATCAACTGGTTGGAAACAAGCTAACTGGAATGTAATACTTTCTCCAACAAACAAGATGGTGTTGTTTCTTTACAGTAAATGAAGTTCCTAAAATGTGAATTTTACCAATTTTTGTGGTCCAAACCAAAGACTAAGGGAACTTTATTATGGAGTACAAATCAGTTTAATTCTTATTCAGGTTTAGCAGTCCATCAATAGGAGCATAATGTGTTGTCAGTCTGTTTGTATAACACCATGACTGCAACTACTGGAACACGGTATGAAATTTTATCATTTCTTCATATTTGTTAGGCACATTTTAATCTTATAGCATAATTTTAAATGAGTAAAGTCAAAGCGAGGCAATCCCTACATTTTTACACAGTTAACTAGATACTTAAGAACCTTGCCTTATTAATGTTTTCCCATAGGAATAGAAGAAATCATTCAAAATTGCAGAGTAAAAGTAGAAATGTGTATTTTTGGGGATAAGTTTTCAATATTTCAATAAATTTTGTTTCAAGAATGTCCCATCGTGACAAGGTGAAGGAGTTTTCTGATATAGAGTTTGGGTTGTACATATGTTCACATTTTATTATTGCTCCAGGAACTTCATTTTTAAAAGGATCCAGATCAAACTTCATATATTGGTCAAGTATAAGAAACCTTTGAAAGATCCATATTTCTAGGAGCCAAGGTCACTTACTATTTACAGAAAACCCTTGCCATTGCTCTAGCAGCTTTACTTCTGGAAGACTTTTATTCAAACTTAAATGTATTGATGGAGAATACCTAAAACGATGGTGTATATCAGGATACCAAGGTCAATGCTGCTACTAGTGCCTATATTCATGAAGCAAGTCTCGTGCTCAAACTCAGATTTTGTGCTCAAGCCTAATTTCTTGTTCCAGTTATCAATAAATAAAATATCACATTTTGTCCGCAATTTATGATTATTTTGGAGGAACCTCAAGCAGAGAGTTGTTTAAAATGTTTGTACTTGACATTTTTACCATGTCACATGATTTAAGCAAGTTACAAGCAAGCTGGTTTGAGCACAGAATCCATGCTTGAGCATGAGAACAGCTTCATGAATACAAGCCTGTTACTTTATTTGCAATGCTTCATCATTTATGTTTGGCTGGAGTTTGATAAACTTGATTTATAAGTATATAAGTTACCTGGAACGAGTGCCTGAGTTAACGTCACGTTACTATTTATAGAATTCCTTTGTCAATGCTTTAGCGTCGGCATGGAGAGATAACAATTCATATATTTAACAAGTAGGAGAATATGTTTTAAGCAGTTAGTGCTACAGAGGGGTTGTTTCCAAGGTTAATTATTACTATTTATAGAATTTTTGGTCGTCACAAAAGCAACTTCATGTTTCTTTTTGTAAAACTAAACCCTGCTTACCACAAAGCAGCCATGGTACTATAGGTACTGTAAAATATAAAACAACTTTTGGAAAGACAAATAGCATTTTAATAAGAGCAGATGAAAATGTATTTTAATCACAACAAAATATAGTATCTCACAATAATTTACAATATGCAGATGTGATAATAATTATGGTGTTGATGCATCATTTTTTTTTTTCAATTTCTCTCGTTCTGTGAGCTTCATATTTTGTGTTAGTCCGTTCCTCAAATTGTTTACTTTTTTTCCTTCTAACCCAAAAAAACATTGTATAAACGGTCAAAAACAGTACATTCATGATACTCATAGACATCTTCACTCGAAAATAGTCGTTTGCCAGGGACACCAGGCCAGACCTGAAACCAAAGAAGAAACATTCTCAATTTATCTAGCTTGATTGAGTTACGTAGTGAAGAAATATTATTCCATGAAAACAATATATAGCATAAACCAAACAATGAGTCTGAATCGCTCAACTGTTTAATATTCAACGGTGTTTGCAAACACATTCTTAAAAGTGGGTCAAGGTTAAGTTTAATTACAAGTAAACTAACAAGAGGCCCAATGGGCCTGCATCTCTCACCTGGTATAAATCTCACACTTGTAACCTTAAAAGTGATCTAAAATAAAGCTACAGGCAAAATATCAGTATTTATGATTAAAATTCATTCAAAAGACCCTGTTATTTTTTTTAAAACATTTCACCCCTGTGATTGAAAGTCGAAACAAAGTCATTATGTTGAACAAATTTTATAGCCATTCTTCTCAGGATGTAACTTGCAAAGTATCAACATCCTGGGACCCATGGTTATTCAGAAGAGGCTGTTTAAAGATTTTAAACAAATTTGACCCCTGTGGCCTTGAATATAAGTCAAAGTCATTCACTTTAACAAACATAGTAGTCCTTGATCCCAGCATGCTACTGACTAAATATCAACATCCTGAGCCTTTTGGTTATTCAGAACAAGTTGTTTAAATATTTTGAACATATTTGCTCCTTGTGACCTTGAATATGATTCAAGGTCATACATTTAAACAAACTTGGTAGCCCTTGATCCTAGTATGCTACTGACTNGTTATTCAGAAGAAGTTGTTTAAAGGTTTTTTAAGACAATTGACCCCTGTGACCTTGAATATAATTGAAGGTCATTCATTTGAACAAACTTGGTAGCCCTTCACCCAAGCATGCTACTGGCCAAATATCATCTCCCTGGGCAGTTTGGTTATCGAGTAGAAGATATTAAAAGTTTTTAACATATTTGACCCCTGTGACCTTGAAAATGGGTGAAGGTCATTTATTAGAACAAAGTTGGTAGTCCTTCATCTCGGTTTGCTTCTGGCCAAATATCATCACCCTAGGCCTTTCGGTCATTAAAAAGAAGTCGTTTAAAGTAAAATATTGACGCCGGACGGACGCCGCACCATGGCATAAGCTTTCTTGGCACTTAGTGCCAGGTGAGCTAAAAATTAAGAAAGATCTCTCCAGTACTTCCTGAGTAATGGCCAAAACAAACCTTTACTGTCAAAATCCAAGATGGCTGTCTGTCTGCCATTTTTTTTTATCTGATCAGTCTCAAAAGTAAATATGAACAACTAAGGACCTAGGGGAACCTACATATTAGATTTGAGAAAGATCTCTCCACTACTTATTGAGAAACAGCGATAACAAAGATCCAAGGATGGCTGCCTGTCAGCCATTTTGTTTGCCTTATCAGTCTCAAAAGTTAACCTGCACAACGACCGACCATGGAAAACCTGCATATCAAATTTGAGAATGATCACTCCAGTACTTCCTGAGAAATAGTGATAACAAACCTTTAATTTCACAATCCAAGATGGTGGCCTGTCTGCCGTGTTTATCTGATCAATCTCAAAAGTTGCTCTGCACAACTAAGGACCAAGGGGAATCTCCATATAAAATGTGAGAAAGATCCCTCTGGTACTTTCTGAGAAATGACAATAACAAGAATTGATTAAGGACGGACGACGGACAAATGGACCACGGGTGATTTGAAAAATGTTCTAGATATATTTGACCCGTTACCTGAAAAGTAGGTCAAAATCACTTATTTAATTTTTTTCTCTCCAAATATCACTACTAAAATTCAGATCATAATTAATCATCAGAAGTCACTTATTTAAATATTTAACACATTTCTCCCTCTAAGTTTTTCATAGTCTAATATCTCATGACTAATATCATTTCAGATTTCAAACTTTCTAGTAATGCAGTAAGTTACTAGCTAAATGTCATGACTAAAGGATTTTGGTTCTTGGAAAGAAAACCTTTGAGTGTTCTACCAATTTTGACTCGGTATAATACTAATGGTTTTGAAATGTAAAAATTTGATGTGGTAGGCTGGAACCTATAGTGACATGCAGCACTATTCCATGATAGAAATTTACAAATACAGTACAGTGTAACAGATTTATAACAATTTAATCTCCAAAGATTGATGTTCAAGACTATAAAATCACAAAGTTATAGACTTACCCAACAAAATCTGGTACATGCTCAACTTTTTTGAAAAACTTCATGCGAACAAGCATTTGCTTTATTTCCGGTGTTGCATACTTCATACCAACCACAGTCCCTTCAAACAGAAAGATTTTCTTTATTATTTTTCTATCAAGTGAACAATTTTTTATACAAACAGTGTATGTACAACTATTATTTTGAAAATACCAAATCGGAAATGCTGTTCTTCATACAATGTACATGCACCAGATAATTTAGTAAAAACAGGGGAACAACATTTATTATCCCCTCGCGACAAAGTAGGGGATCCCGAGTGGATGTAGCGCTCCAATCCTATGTTTTTTCACGTCATCACTGTAATAACTTCATTCCAGCAGGGATTTTGATAAAAGTTCATTTAGTGTCATGCAAGAGAATACCCTGAATGAGGTCAGGTCATAAAGGGTAAGTTTGTTTTGAATACAAACAGTCTGAGTTACAGGAATTGAAATTTATTTGCGACCCTTCAAAAACATCTTTTTCATTTGTCAAGCAGTGTGTACAAATGACCGGTGTCTTGACTCTGAACTGCTAAAAACAACTCACCGAGCCACAGCCAAATGAGTTAAGTCAGCTGTCAAAAATCATAGAGACATTTTGCCCAATTGCATTATAACACTGCAATCAGTCAGTCAGTGGGACTGGTAACATGTTTATGTCCAGCAATGTGCAACGTTGAGCATAATCTTTTGCTGGAGAGGACCCGCCAAATTTACATTGGGTGGCAGTGTTACTTATGTCAAAACCCTGTGGTACCTTGTAAGGCCAGTTCTGGTGGTTATGGAAGGTGCTTTGGTAGATAGGGAGCTGGAGGACCAATGGATTTCCCTAAGCCAACTCTCGGAGAGGGGAACAGTGAAGCAGCCATGGAATAAGAAAGGAAAGCTAGGTTTTCCATTGATGCGATCTAGTCCTGGGACATGCCCACTAGATCAACATTGTCAGGCGTGGTCAGTAGCTAGATTGGTACCTGTTAGTGCAGCATTACACAATGCATAGTTACAGTTTTTCGGTAGTGTAATATGGATCCTCAAGTTACAGGTGGGGTTTAACTGTTAAAAGCAGTTAATATTTTCAACATTTTGTATCAGGTGAGAGGCTATTCTACAAAGTGGCTGCCACTTCTAAGACACATGTTTCAAATGTGGCTATACTCATAGGACTCTTTAACTTCAGTGATCGTGGCTGATCAATAGTATTTACTGTAATCTGAACAGGAAACCTATGGAGGAAATGATGTAGTGGTGTATATCAAAAGTGATTTTTACTTCCTTTTTTTTTTACAGTACAGGTAACTATGAAAATGTGGCTAGTCCAGATGAGAGGATACTTGTGATGTAACATGCATGTTATAGGGCGATAAATTGAAAAATACATTGTTCCAGCTTTTGTAGTAGCTTGATTTTGCAATGGTGTTAAAAACTTATTTCTCAAAATAGAAAGCAACCCTTTCATGTACAGTTAAGTCCAAATGATTTACGCCCCTAGTGGAATATGTCTGCACTAGGCTACCTGAACTGTTTCAACCAGGAGCCTGTTTGTTAATTCGGAACAACCGATTTGTCTGTTTTGAAATGTAACTTTTTTGGGTTTAAATCCTGGCAGATCTGGACCTGCAAATGTTTATGCAGGCCTTGCAAGGCTTTGTCGAGGCTCGCCTAAAAGCAGTATCAGATTTCTAGGTCAGACCTTATTTCATAAACAACCAACTCTGCTCCAACCGTTTGGATCGTGATAAACGAAAGTGGCCTGAAATACGCGAATGCGACCTAACTAGTGTAGTAGGACGAGGAATAGTGATAAAGATAGTGCCATCGCTGGGCCTCGAACCCGCGACCCTTGACTCTCCAGCCTGATGCTCTACCGCTGAGCTTAAGGGAAATTCCCCACAGCTGACACTTGAAAGGCAACCTAATTAATCCACATCTTTTACACTAGTACAGATCTAGATTAGGGTTTCTTCTTCTTCCCATATATTAGTAAACACATAGTACAACACTATGTACCTGTTATTCAGTTTTGGGTCTTTCCATCAACCTTAGATTTATCCCTACCAGCAGAAATCTACCAAACACCAAAGTGCACAATTTCAAATGAATGACCCCGTCCCGTAAAACATCAGCAACATAACATAGATCTAGTGGGCAAGGTAACTCAACAGCGCTGCGGGCGTGATCCCTCCCACTTTTGGAGGCAGGCGGCTAGTTCAGATAACAAAACAGATGGGTGGTCTATATAGGTCTAATGGAACCCTTTTTAAAGTTATCTATAGCCATACCAAGTCTTTCCTGCCAATGTTTTCGAAAACTATTTCCACCTGCCCGCTTTTGTACTTATGCTATGACGACTTAAAATCTCTAATATAAGCTATACAAACTATACCATACCCAGCTTTGGGGTTATGTGAAACTCCCTTGTAATAACTGGCTTGACAAGATGTTTAGGAGAAAGGTGCTGTCGATATAATACCCTTCCAAGGGCACAAGGCAATTTCAGAGCCATGTTTATATCTGTGCCGATGAGCTGCTTCCCTGATTGGTATATATAGTAATCATTGGAACGATACCGGAAAGGAGAAAATCCGGATTATCAATGACCTCTACACTGGACTCGAAAATAAAATGATTGTATAATATAAAGTCAAAGTTCATTGTTATTTAAATTTGCCCTATATTTATAATAAAATTCTTCATTCTACCAAAATTTATCTATTCTGTTTTTAAAAGTATTGACACAACGTCCTCTGGAAGATTGTTCCTGAAATAGTTTCACCCCAGGGAAGTGTTGACTGATAAGGGAATAAGGGAGTACAGTATATAATAATACTTTATCTAATGAGAGTATCAATTTTAGTGTAACACTAATCTTTCACATGGCCCTCCAAAAGTTTACAAACTGCATTCATGAAAATACAAAACACATATTACCGCGGACTTTGGTTAGCGTTTAGGTACCCAAAATAGAACACTTTTAAAGCAAAATATTCGTATTTCCTATAAAGTAAAAGCAGGTGGAATAGAACAAGGAGAGCCAAAAACAGATTAAATTATCCATATTATAGAAAAAAGTTATACCGTGCGTGATATGCATCTTTAAGAAATCTTTGGAGAGTATAATTGTAAAAACAATGGAGTTTAGCAATAAACAGATTGTATTTCTGCCTGGAATATTAACAACACTCTATAGATGCTTATACATTTAGATGACTCGGCCCGCTTGTTAGATACAGGGGCAGTATAAGGTACCTCACCGTCGCCTCATATACAACCTATATAAATATAGAATCGGCCATAAAACAATAGATAGAAGGCTTCATGAGTATATAGAAACCAGATGATGTTGGTAACTGGATCATCGTCAAGGTCTCTTGGCATCCTCAGAGGAATTCCTCAAGAAAGAGTGTTGGAGCCCTTAAACTATGTCGGAACACATTATTTTCCTGCCCACTTTTCTCAGATGACACCAAACTTTACGGCATATTTATTCAATCAGATTAGATCAACTCCAAAAATGGTCAGACGACCGGTTACTTAAATTCCACCCAGATAAATGTTAAGTACTCCAGATCAAAGGATCAATCCTGGTTGACAGAAGTTATCATCTCACGGGTCAGAATGGCAAGAAAACTACACCAGAAAGCATTACCAGTGAAACAGGTTTAGGTGTAACGATAGATCGGCTAGACTTTAGAACACTCATGCAAAAAGTTATTTTAATGAAAACCCAATTTGGTCCCGGGCATCATAAGATGATATTTGAGATATAATCCATGTTTATGCGTCAAGCGCATGGAATCCGCGCAAAAGCCCGTATAAAGATTAAAAGAAATTTCGTATGGAGAGCGTTTGAAAGTACTGCAACTCCAAACATTGAAAACCACAGTATGAGATGGGAATTAATAACAGTTTGAAAAAATAACAATACTTTTGATGAAAGAGTCACTTCCAATTCATTAACCTTTGATATACATGTGTAAAAGATGTGGATTAAATAAGTTGCCTTACAAGCGTCAGCTGTAGGGAATTTCCCGGGCATGAGAGCCGATGGTAGCGGGTTCGAGCCTCAGCGACGGCACTATCTTTATCACTATTCCTCGTCCTATTACACATGGATGAACTCGAGGTATCAATCACAAAATGAACAAAAACCGATGTAACACGGAGTTCAGGAAAAACTCATTCACATTAAGAGTAGTAGCTGTATGGAACATTCTACTTGCTCAAATGATGAAACAATCTAGGATATTTGAACCACAACACAGGCTGTAAACTATTTGTTAAATATCTGTTGATAGCCGGTAAAATTTCACTTAAGTGATCAACCCCCAATATGACTATATAGGGTCACAGATCATAAAACCAACTGACATTCGATACAATTTGACAATTTCCTTTCACATCCTGTGGCAATGACCGTCGCTGAAAAATATTCATATAAGCAATAGGTTGCTACCTTTACAGTTCTAATAGAGTAGAACAATATAGAAGTAGAAAATTAAAACAAATCTATAAATTAAAAAAAACACCATGCATAACTAGAAAAGTTAGACGGACAGAATGGATGGATGGACGCGGTGGAGTGAAGACGTGTTTTATCTGCTCTGCTTTTAGCTTGATTTTAACTGGTTTTAAAGCTCCACCTGCCAACAGTTGACTTTATATAGTTTTTAGATTAGGTATATAGCATACAGCTATATTTTTAGGGGTGTAGTAAGTGTACAGAACCGTTTTTATTGACTTTTATATGTCCTACCCCATTTTATAGTGGCGGGAAACCGTTCCCTTGTTGCAGAAAATAGACTGTTTTTAAATTACTGCATTTTAGAGCCCGCATTGACTCTTTTATATGCATTTACTTTTAAAAATTACTACCACCCCGGCCCTTGGTGACGGAGTGTCTGCCTTTACCCCTGTATCTCGACGAAGACCGAGCTGTCGTCTAATTTTCCAAGATGGCGGCCCCACGTCGATGAACCTATATTCATGAAAGCCGATCTACATTAACAGCTGTAGTATGTAAAATCCATTTGGAAAAGTGACTTTTACCAATCTGTATCACCATAACTCTCCACCCGTACGCAATACTACAACCTATCGCCATAAAACTTCCATCACCATTACAAAGTACAAGCAGGGTATACCCAAGATGGCGGACAACATGATAATGGCTTCCACTGATGTATGTACAGTCAACATTGACCAGCCTAATGAACTTGTACCTTTAAGTAATTATCAGATCAACCCTCATACCAGAACCAAATCATATACCATGAACCAAAAACGCTCACTTCAAAAAAAAAAAGGACAAATGTGAATCTCCATTCATAAACACCTTCCCCAAAGATGGAGGCAATCACCTCAAAATTGAATGCAGCACCGGGTGCTACGAATTGATCAAGTCAGGAATCATCTCTGCCACAAATGATCAGACAATTATGGACAAGTATAACATGTCATTTGCACTGGAAATGGTCCACGATCAACAGGGAAACTCCCCGTAAACCGTAATAAAGGCTTACAATAGACTTAAAAACTCACAACCGGGAATGAAACATTAATTCACAATCAACATGTACCATACCCAATGCTCACTGTTGATAAATGGACGAGGTACACCACAATTTCAAGATGAGATTCTACCCGACATCATAGAAGCTGTAAAACAGAATCCAAATATGTCAACACTGGACAGACACTTCGCAGCACTCATAGACAGATGTCTAGCACAGAGTATTGACAAACCAGATGCACACACTAGCATATATGGGGACCCCCTATGCCCAGAAGTTGAAAATACTATGGCTGGAGCTGGTCACAAAATTTGCAATGAAGTTGCTATACCAGACATTGAATGCAGCACCAATGAAGACATAAGCCTATGTCCACATTGTAAACTTCATGTAGAGGTAGGCCTTGAATGCGACGTATGCTCCCTATGGTACCATTATGATTGTAAACACCTAGATCACAACTTCATAGACTTTCATGAGCAAGGAGATACCGTCTACAGCTGCCTATCATGCAGACATCTAACTGCAAGATCAGAAACTCTTCAAATTTCCGATATGAACATCCATATTACCTCGCTACTTGAACCGGACTCCATGGATATTGGTCGTGATGATGAAGTACACATCAAAACATACCAAGATGACGCTACTAAAATCTCAATAAGACCGCCTACCGCACATCAAGAAACAGAAGTTAATACAGAGAGCAAGACCACCATAAAGGACCTCAACAACCACCAAGGTACATATGACTCCGATACAGGTCAGGCTATTGTAGCAGATGGAGAAATGGGCCCTTCAACAGTCACAACAAAGGCATTGGAACTGACTTCAGTCCTAAACTCTAACAATATAGACATACCAGTAAGGCAGCCCCAGAAAACTGCAAAGGGAAAACCAAAACAAAGGCAAAAACAGGTTGAAGTCCACAACGAGACCAGTCAACAACTCCAACTGGCAACTTCACTCATCACCAAACTTGAAACAAAGGTCAACGATCTTGAAAGATGTAACCGTCTCCTCCAACAACAAAACTCTGCTTCAGCAACAAAACACCATACGGCAGACCACACTCCGGCAGCAACTCCATCCACATGGCCCAGGACTGGCCAATATTCTACAAGCACACGGACCATGGAACCAGATATGCACAATACAGTCAATATGCTTCAAAACCGACTACAGGTAATGGAGATGGATCAAATGTGGTTAAGAATCAACAACATAGAGAACATGATGGTAATCCAGAATAAACTTGACAACAATAATCGTTTACCAAACAACTATACACCCTATATGGTTCAACAGCCACAGTTTTTCCCTGACCCCAGGTCTCTTCCGTTGAGGTACCCCCACCACCACCGTACTTAGGGATACCTCCTCCTTTCCACCAACTTCCGGTACACCCCCATGTACCTACAAGCGGTCAAGGCTTTGCAGTACCAACACAACCGTATCATATGAGCGCACCAACAGCACACGCCAATGAGTGGGGAGGAACCCAAAGAACAAGTTATCAGGGGGACCAGAATCGACCTCCACGACCAAGCAGCCAACCCTCGGGGACCCCTAAGGAAAGCATATATCCACAACGAAATATTCCCCCAGATGGCAAGCAGGAAAACCGACAAAAGGTCAACCGGTATACTTACCACCTCATAAACGACGCTCTGAATCTGGTACTGTAGATACAAAGAGGAATACCACACCGTCATCATTACATCACCTGACGCCACACTCACTCCTAAAAAGGTCAAATTTGCAGATGAGAATTCCGCAGCAAAACGTGCCACGACTGAGCCCCCACCGTTACATGTCCATATGCCGGACCCTGATACGAACAGCATCACAGCCAAGGCTGTCAACGACACTCTGAATGAACCGGCGTCAACAAAAAACAGCCATGAATCCAATACTACAGGGCAGGTTTTTTTACGGCATGGCCGTGCAGCAAACAGACACTGGCGGAAGGAAGGAAATCAATCAATATAGGCACCTTAAATATAAAAACTATCCAGTCGAACAGCCTGTATCTGGAACAACTTCTGCAGACCACAGATGTACTTTGTATACAGGAACACTGGCTTTTTGAATTCCAACATCAACTCCTTAGCACAGGCACCCACCATCCACACTCCAACTTTGCTGATTCCAAAGATCCTATATCCCCTTTCCAAGTTCCAAGGGGCTATGGTGGAGTCTCAACCCAGCACAGAAAGGATATGGATGTGAATTACACCCACCACACTGACGGCAGTGAAAGAATCACCGTTTTATGACTAGCACAAACCCCCAGTCTGTATCATCAATGTATACATGCCATGTAGAGGGAGACTCTCCGAGACAGACTACCAAGAGACATTAGATGAGACTGAGGAAGTTATACAAAAGTTTGATACTCATGCCATTTTCATCTGCGGTGATATGAATGCCTCACTCAGACTACGTCCAACAACTCCAGAGACAAATTATTGTATAAATTCTGCAAGGACCTGGATCTACAAACAGCACAATGCGGAACTGACACCTTTTTCCATGTAAATACTAAGGACACTGCTGAAATTGACTATGTCCTCTTCAATAAGAAAGGTGAGAGTATGGTGTCAAAATGCACAATCCTTGAGGAAAACCCAGCCAACCACTCAGACCATATCCCGGTAATCTTAGAATTAGATCTACAGACAAGATCAACAGACAAAACCACAACAATCAACAACAAACCAAACTGGAGCAAATGCGACCCGGATAGTTACCACAGATATATTGAAAATAACCTGGATCACCTAAAAACACCAGCTAATGAATTTGAAACCATATCGGCAATTCAGCACCTAACAGGCACATTATCAGACGCCACGTCAAGCAGTATACCCAACTACAAACCTATCATACAACTAAAGAGAAAAAAAGAAAGCACCATGGAGTGATGAGATACAGCATGCAGCAAAACTCAGTAAGCAAGCAATGTGGAAATGGAAAGTAGCTGGAAAACCTCGCCATGTAGCCAACTTACTGTACCGGGATATGAAGAACAGAAAAAAGACCCTACAGAGACTACAGAGGCAACAATCAGCCAAGAAGAGAGATGAATGGACCAATCATATAATAACCTTCTATGGAGACCAGAAACTATTTTATAAATTGGTAAAATCACAGAGAAAGACTTCAGCTACTGGACCAAAAACACTTATGCTGGACGGAGTAACCTATACAACACCAGATGAGGGCCTTCTTTGCTGGAACAAGCACTTTTCACGACTGGCAACCCCTCCGGAAAACATACTTTTCAAGGAGGACCACAAAGAGATTGCTGATAAAACAACAAACCGTATACACATACTCAGTGAGCAAGAACCAGCTGGAATAACACCGGCCTCAGAATCCGATATCAAGAAAGCCATATCCAAACTAAATAACAACAAAGCAGCTGATAGCATGGCAATGACTAGCGAACACTTCAAAATGTCTGGAGATACCATAATTCCCTACCTAAAAACTCTTATCAACAGTATGCTAGAGAAAAAGAAAGTACCGGCAATGCTGAAATCTGGACTACTTACTCCAATCTACAAAAAGGGAGATCAGAAAAACCCCTCCAACTACCGTGGGATCACCGTTACCACAGTCATACTTAAAATCGTGGAACATATTCTCAACGCCAGACATAACCTTATCCTGAATCCAACACAATCCAAACTACAGACCGGTTTCACCAAAGGTACAGCATCTATCAACTCAGCTCTCATCGTAACAGAATGCCTTAAGGAAGCCCGTCTACAAAGAAAGCCTCTTCTACTAACAACACTCGATGCACAGAAGGCATTCGACGTCGTGGATCACAATATCCTTTTAAACAAGCTCTATGACGACGGAATCAAGGGCGCTGACTGGCTGATGATTCAGGATCTCTACAAGGATGTCACATCAGGCGTCAAGTGGGAGGGACAGACTTCAGACCCCTTTACTGTTCGACAACGAGTCCGTCAAGGGGGAGTACTCTCCACTTCTCACTACAAACGTTTTAATAATCCCCTACTGAAGGATCTGGAAGAAAAATGTGAGGGAGCCAATATAGGATACATCAGAATCCCACACACAACATGTGCGGATGACATTGCCCTTCTAGCTCACACGGCTCTCGACATGAAACATATGCTGACCAGGGTAGAGAATTATTCAACTCAAGAAAGATATCTACTGAACCCTTCAAAAAGTAAGATGAAACTGTACAACACCAAAGATGTAGAAACATTCTCCATATATGATGAACCAATAGAGATAACAGACCAGTTACCCCATCTTGGAGTCCTTAGAAATGGCAAGAACTCCATAGACTGCGAGAAAACTGTCCAAGCAGGAAGGAAAACAGCTTACTCACTCATGGGATCTGGATTTCATGGGAAGAATGGATCATCTCAAATGGTTAAAGCACATCTTTGGAAAACCTATGTCGTCCCAAGACTCACATATGGAATGGAAACACTCAACTACACAAAAACGCAGATGAAACCCCTGGAACGATTCCAGACCAAATTACTAAGACAGGTACAACATCTTCCGGACAGGACAGCAACATCTATATCCCTGGCATTACTTGGAATTCCTCCACTCAGCTGTATCATTGACAGAAACACACTGAACCTGTTCTACAGAATCATATTCCTTACAGGCAAATAGAGCAGCCTTCAACCAATACAACGTCAACCCGGAGTGCAGACTATGTCATACAGGGCCAGAGGACCGTCAACACTTCATAGCCGTTTGTACAACATATGATAGAATAAGGGAACATGCCTATCTGCGACTACAAAATATTCCAGCAATCCAGCAATATACAGAACTGACTTCAAATCCTACAAAATTCACTCATCTGATACTATATTGCACACACCCAGAGATCAGCGATATCCATGTCTTTAACAAAGATGAGAACTTCACAGTAGAGAATACTTGCAGAACTAGATACAGAGGAGAATGGCAGACCCTCCAATTAATGATATTGTTTTATATAAACTTTACTATGTTTTATGGAAGAGAAAAGAACTCTTTAGTTTTTAATCCCTGTGTACATACGTCCTGACTGTGTACATATCTGTACAGATTTTATTGCTGAGCCGATATTCTACGCTACTAGGAAGTAGTGGTGCCTCGACAAGACAACGAGGGAATCTACCAAGAAGCCTGAACCTGAATGGCAAGCTATGCGAATTTAATATCTTCAGATTTTTTATTGAACATATCAAGTTTTCTATTTTGTGATAACAGCGCTTTAGGTGGCATTATCTACGGCTTTGGGAATCCGGAACAAATAACCGGATTTGGTTCTGCACTAATTATTTACATTGCATGTTTGTTTTGATGGCAGTGGTTGGTGCGTGGCGGTTAATAAGAGATCGTCACTGATTGGTTTACATTTTTCTATTGATTACCTAGAATTTTTTGCTTTCACATTAGGCCTATCTCACAAGAATTCATTCAGTGATGCTGTACTCCGTCTGTTTATATGGACGTACGCATGCAGTCCATCTGTAGCAGCACAACGCATCGAAACGTGTAATTAAGCTCCAGGTAATTCTTTTATATGGTAACCTTGCAGCTTCTGCTACTTTCGGATTCAGCTGCTGGAGCGGACACCGTCGGGACCATCTGTTGACATGTTGATTACTATGATAGATGTTAATTAGATAGGGAATGCTTTTTATCTCTACCGGAAAACTCCACGCAGATAATAATAAATTTAAAACACCCAAGCATGTTATGCTCATCAGCAGGTTACGGGGATCTTAGGCAATTTGCCTGGTCTTTTGATGAGCAGGTTTATAGATTTATATAATTTATTTACATTTTTTTTATAGTTTCCTTCAGTTGCAAGTTAAACATAATTATTGATAAATATGAAATAATTGATGTGAAATTTTGTACTTAAAACGCACATCAATTTAGTTGATTCTTTATTAGTTCAACAGGTCCAGTACACTCTGCCGATTGAGCTATATAGCTATATTCACCTATAAATTATAGCTGTATTGAGCTATATTTTCTCAGATTTCAATTTTCATTAAATTAAAGCAAAGTCGCATAAAACAACAAGGTTTATGGTAATGTTGACTACAAAAAGTATACATTTAGATGTCTATTTTCATTTTTCATATAAATGTATTTATTTTTTAAAAAGAATACTTATATTTAATATATCTTGTAATCAACCTCATGATAAAATCTTCTTTTAAAGGGACTTTGTTTCGTTTTCCTTCAAAAAGAAAATCACATGAAAATAGCTCAAAACGACCTATTTCAGATAGGTCAATAGAGCTAGTATATGTCTTTACAGCGATATGAAAATAGCTCAAAAAGACCTATTTCAGATAGGTCAAAAGCGCTAGTATATGTCTTTACAGCTATACCCTGGTCCGAGAGCCCCTAGATACCCCTGCGGCACCTGTGGCAAGGCAGTCATATGGAAATCCAGTGCCATATGCTGTGATACGTGTGACACCTGGTTCCATGTCGACTGTCGGGGAATGAATAAATCATCCCTCAAATACTACGACCGTAGCAGGGTATCTTGGGACTGCCTAAACTGCAGGCTTCCAAACTTCTCCACAATACTATTTGACAACACAAGCATTGACACATCAAACAGATTTTCACAACTTCACAACTCTAGCATACACTCAAACTTACATGAGGACCCCACCAGCCCAGGCCCACCCACAGCATCCTCCTCACCAATAAAACAAAACAACAAGACTGCCACTAGCTACAACAAATTTACTAAACCAATATGCATAGCCACCATTAACTTCCAATCCATTTCCAACAAAAAACCTGACCTCAACCAAATCATACACTCGCTCAAACCAGACATCATAATAGGAACAGAAACATGACTCAACAACGCAATCTCCTCCCATGAATACTTCCCAGTCAACGAATACACTGTCTACCAAAAAGATCGAAACCCAAATAAACATGGCCAAAGCCACAGAGGTGTACTACTTGCAATCACAAACAAATACCACACAGAACACATTAAAGAATTAGAAACAGACAATTAAATGAATCAATTTGGGTAAACATCTCCATGACAAATTCACACAACCTCACCATAGGAGCATATTATAGACCACCATCAGACAAAGGACACTGATCACTAGAACAACTAGAAATCTCTATGAACAGACTAGGTCAAAACAACAACACAATAACATACGTAAGTGGAGATTTCAACTTACCACACATAGACTGGCAAAACAACACAACCATACCAGGCAAACAAGAACAAAAAACTTCATCAGCACCTTCTGGACATCATAGACAACAACTCCCTCACACAATTAACGATAAAGCCCACCAGAGGAAACCACATACTCAACCTGACACTTACAAACAGACCATCAATCATTAACAAGACTGAAACCACACCACCTATAGGCAAATCTGACCATGACATAATCTACACTGAAATTGACGTTCGACTGAAAAGAATAAGCAGAGAACGCAGAAACACATACCTCTACAACAAAGCTGACTGGAACAACATGACGACCTCACACTTCTAAACACAAAACTTGACGAACAACCTAACCAAACCGCAGACAATCTTTGGAACATGTTCAAAACAACACTTGCTAATTCAGTCACCAAAAATATCCCTCAAAAACACATAACATACAAATCCAAACTCCCTTGGATAACACATTCTCTTCTTCGACTCATGAGGAAATGTAAACAATTACACACGAAAAGCAAAACAAAACATGAACTTATACAGAAATACAAATCGGCCAAACAGAACTACAAAAACAAACACGCAACGCATATCTTAACTACATAGAAAAAATGATAAAAGACCTACCAATAGACGAACCCAGCACACCTTCCCCTAGCAAAAAATTCAATTGCAAAAAACTATTCTCAATTTGAATCTGCCTTCACCACAGAACAAGACTGCCTCATACCAGACAAATGACCTTCTTCACACCCTCTCATGCCAGAAATACACATTACAGAACAAGGCATCTATAAACTACTCAATAACATCAACCCACATGAAGCAATAGGACCTGACAATAAACACGGCAGAATACTTAAAGAATTAAGTGACATCACAGCACCCATTCTCACAAAAATCTTCACCCGCTCGCTCACTACAGGAACACTACCAGCAGATTGGAAACACGCAAACATAAACCCAATATACAAAAAAGGAGACAAGTACAACCCAGCAAATTACAGACCAATTTCACTAACCTGCATTACATGTAAACTCATGGAACACATCATAACAAGCGCCACAATGACACATCTGGAAAACTATAACATATTATATGACCTACAACACGGCTTTAGATCCTCCAGATCCTGTGAAACACAGCTCACCACGTTCATACATGATCTCGCATCAAATAACAACATCAACAAACAGACAGACATCATCATTATGAACTTTGCCAAAGCTTCCGACAAAGTTCCACACAAACGACTACAATACCAACTCAAATATTACGGGATAACGGGGAACACACACGCATGGATTACAGACTTTCTCTCATTCTGCACCCAAACAGTAGTACTCGAGGGCAAACAATCAGACAAAATACAAGTAACCTCTGGGGTCCCTCAAGGAACCTGTTTGGGCCCCATCCTCTTCCTCATCTACATCAATGACTTCCACGAATACATGAAATACAGCACACTTAGACTGTTGGCAAACGACGGCATCATATACAAGACGATAAACAACAAAGAAGACACACTTAAACTACAACATGACCTTGACGCAGCAGGACAATGGGAGACGGACTGGTTAATGAAATTTCACTCTGACAAATGCAACATACTCAACATTGCACCGAAACGCAACAAAATACACCATGACTACAAACTCCACAACCACACGTTACACCAAGTAGAATCAAGCAAATACTTCGGATTAACATTACAAAATAACCTATGATGGCACAAACATATTAACAACATCACAGCCAATGCCAATAGGTCCTTAGGTTTTCTAAAACGCAACTTAAATATAAACTCACCACATATAAAAGAACATTCATACAAAGCACTAGTCAGGCCAATACTTGAATACTGCTCTTCCATTTGGGATCCACACAACACAAACCAAATTAAACAAATAGAAAAAATACAAAGAAGAGCAGCACGCTATGTACAAAACTGATACCACAACACTAGTTCCGTAACAGATATGATCCACACACTACAATGGCCAACACTACAAACACGGCGCTGTCACACAAGGATGATCCTTTTTTACAAAATCATACACAAAATCGTAGCTTAAAACCCAACTCATACACTCACACCCGTAGACCCTCGCACCAGACATGCACACCCTCACGCATACAAACACATATCTGCTACAAAGGACACCTACAAATATTCATTCTTTCCACACACAATAACACAATGGAATCTCCTTCTCATAGCAGCAGTACAATGTACAACACTAGAGAACTTCAAGGCACACTTACCCTACACAGCCCTTGAAGTCCTCATCACATGCTAAACATACGCCAGATTTTATCTTTTTATCTATACCTTGAACAAAAAAAATCACAAAAAAAACCCTAATCACTGTAAATAACCCCCTTTTTCACGCCTCTGCAATAGGACCCCCCGAGGGCATAAACATCAAAATGATGGAGCCCCCGTACGACAAAGAAGAAGATATAGTTCAATCGTCAGAGTCTACTAGACCTGTTCAATACTGTATATTATGTATGGGACTGCCTACATGTACATGTTATGGTATGGTAATACTCCTGTATTTTAATGTTTCAATTATATGTTACCAAAGGCAGGTATGAGGTGATTTACCTGTGTGTTGCATGTGTGAAATGTTTTGCCTTGTTTTATCTGTATAAAGTGTCAAACTTTTGTGTGAGATATTTTACCTGTGTTTCACAACTAACCACTGTAAGATATTTTACCTGTGTGTTACAAGTGCGAGATATTTTACCTGTGTTACCCATTTGAGATATTTTACCTGTGTTTTACCAGTATGAGATATTTTACATGTGTTTTACCAATACGAGATATTTTATCTGTGTGTCACCAGTGTGAGATATTTTACCTGTGTGTCACCAGTATGAGATATTTTACATGTGTTTTACCCGTTAGAGATATTTTACCTGTGTTTTACCAGTTTGAGATATTTTACATGTGTTTTACCAATATAAGATATTTTATCTGTGTGTCACCAGTGTGAGATATTTTATCTGTGTGTCACCAGTGTGAGATATTTTACCTGTGTGTCACCAGTGTGAGATATTTTACCTGTGTGTCACCAGTATGAGATATTTTACATGTGTTTTACCCGTTAGAGATATTTTACCTGTGTTTTACCAGTTTGAGATATTTTACATGTGTTTTACCAATATGAGATATTTTATCTGTGTGTCACCAGTGTGAGATATTTTATCTGTGTGTCACCAGTGTGAGATATTTTACCTGTGTGTCACCAGTATGAGATATTTTACATGTGTTTTACCCGTTAGAGATATTTTACCTGTGTGTCACCAGTTTGAGATATTTTACATGTGTTTTACCAATATCAGATATTTTATCTGTGTGTCACCAGTGTGAGATATTTTACCTGTGTGTCACCAGTGTGAGATATTTTACCTGTTTGTTACCAGTGTGAGATATTTTACCTGTGTGTCACCAGTGTGAGATATTTTACCTGTGTGTCACCAGTATGAGATATTTTTCCTGTGTGTTACCAGTGTGAGATATTTAACCTGTGTGTCACCAGTGTGAGATATTTTATCTGTGTGTCACCAGTGTGAGATATTTTAGCTGTGTCTCACCTGTGTGAGATGTTTTACCTGTTTGTGATTACTGTGTGCATCACTTTTATATTTATGGTACTTGTGTTTTACAGTCATGGCGGAGGGTGGTGGAGAAAAGATGGATTTAGATGATGATGCCCAATTTACCTGTCTGATCTGCGGTCAGTCTGGTATGACTGAGGTGGATATGCGGGCTCACATCATGATGGACCATGTTGACCAGGATGTGTGCTGTCCATTCTGTGATCTCAGTGGCATCACCCCAAATGAGATGAACCTGCATGTCAACAAGGTCCACTTAGAGGAGTACAAAAGTCCCAGTAAGGAACATAATAGCAAGCTCATGGACACCTCACCTAGCACATCTGGGGATGAAAAAGCGGAGACAGAATCACCTGAGAAGGAAACACATAAATCTAGATCACCCAAATCTAAAGATTCTGGCAGCTTATTGACAGCAAGCCCCATTAAGAAGAATGGGGCAACAACTAGCCATTGTAGTAGATCTAGTTCATTAGAAGATTCAGGGAAAAGGGCAAAATTAAATCTGGACATATCATCGCCAGTCCAGATAATGTTGCCAAGACAGAGCTCTGTGGAAGGTCCTTCAGGTGCTGGGCTGACAACACTGTCTATACCAGCCTTTGGGCGACCTGACCTGCAAGGAATCCGTGCCTCTCTACAACCCAGACGAGCAGAAATGCTCTTGGTGCCCGACATCAACTACAATGTAGAACCTGATATCAACTCCAATGTCCCTATGGAGTTTTCTTGTCCACTTTGTCAGTTCAGCACACCATCCGAGGGTGACATTCAAACACATGTCAATCGGGACCATGTTGATATTCTTAGTCCGTGTAGACCCAGGGATCCACAGGAAAATAATGAAAACCAAAACGGTGGTTCCAGATATATTATGGACTCAGCTAAAATGATGGAGTATGCTTGTCCTTTTTGTGATTTGACTTTGAGATCATCTGATGATCTACAGATTCATGTAAATTCCAAGCATTTAGATATACTAAGTCCTGACAGAGTGAACACAGAGAATGGTGGACGTGGTAGCATGTCAAGCTCAGCTGATATGTCGGATTGTGTCACTTGTCCAGTCTGTGATCAGGAGTTCAACGACCTGATGATACTAGAAATGCATGTCAATGGTCACTTCTCTGCAGAACAGACACCAGGTATTCAAACACTTGTTAGGGCCCCGTACGGGAGATACGGGTGCCCTATAGTAATCACTCTGTCTGTCTGTCTGTCTGTCTGTCCGTCCACAAATTTTGTTCCTGGCTGATAACTTTGGTATTTATTGACCGTTGTACACGAAACTTGGTCAAGATTTTCAGTTCACAAAAATACACATTGAGGTAAAAATTCAAGGTCAGAGGTCAAGGTCATTAGGTTCACAGGTCAAGGTCAAATTTTACATCTTTTCACTGATGAACATTTTGTTAAGACATCATGAAGCAAAGTTAATCATAACTAAACCAGGAATCAACTGACCAAAGGTCAAGGTCATCGGGTCAGGGGTCAAGGTCAAATTTTGTAGCTTTTCACTAGTGAACATTTCGCTATCACATTAGGAAGCAAAGTTGTTCGGAATCATACAAAGAGACACACTGAGGTAAAAAGTCGATGTCAAAGGTCAAGGTCATTAGATTCAAAAGTCATGGTCAAATTTGCATCTTTTAACTGATGAACATTTTGTTATGATATCAAGAAGCAAAGTTGGTCGGAATTAAAGAACAAGTCATTTCATCTCTGACTTTGACCCTGGCTCTTGATGTAGGAGGTATATAAGGTGAAATAAAACAAATCAAAGCTAACAAATAAGTATTGCACCAGTATGTACATTTCTGTTAGCCCAGCAAATATGGAGGTGGAAGGAAACAAGACTCACATTATAGTACATGTAAAATGTATATTTTGCTTCCTTGCGATTCTTTTTGAAGTCCAAATGTCAAACGTCAAGGTCAGCTATCTGAACCGATTGCTTCTTGATGATTTTTAGGGGATATATTGCCACAAGATGGGCCCTTACTGACCTGTCAGTGTTCTAGTTCTGCTATCTTTCAATTTTTGATGGCTCGGTGCTTCGTGCTTAGAATGATGTAATAAGGTACTCTATTCCAGAATTTGATCTATATATGACTGTATTATGAAAGAATTAATATGTAGAATATATGATTTCTGACCATAGTGAAATTTATTAAGCCTGGAGATTGGGGAGAATTAAACAACTTTAGTGGACGAGTGTTTTGCTGCATGAATTATTACACTAAGCTCGCTTTAATAACATGTATTCCGTAAACTGACATGATTGCTGAAAACATGAAATTAGCTGAACACATTTCATTCTAAATAATATATATATACATTTTGGAATCTATGTTCTGTAACATCACTATTACTAGTTGCACAGGAAAAAATATGAGAAACTGTCGGTTACAATTTACATACACACAACAGTGCACAAATAAGTTTGTCAAAAATCAAATTAATTTCTATTGTTAAATACTAATTTTAATGTCTGATTTATGTAACAATGTTTGACAGCTGAGGAAATCAATGACCAGGCCCTGGCAGCAGAGCTAGGGAAATCAGAGCAGGAGGAGAAGAAGAGGGAGATGAGGGAGTTCCAGGCATTGCAGGTACAGTTTTCTTAGAAGCTGATAATGATAGGTGAACAAAGTTCTTCATGCCTTCAGGAAATCAGAGTCTTGATTTTACCCTGTCTATCTGAAGCTTAGTTTAATTGTTAGGAAATCAAAACTAATTTTGGTGATTGGCTTAAAGTTAAGCTTTGAATGATGTACAAAATTTGACTGGACAAATTATGGTATGGCCTCCATCAATCTGTTTGTCTTCTTCATTTCTGCACAATAACATCATTCAATTTAGGATGAAACTTGCCCAGCATCTAGTCTAAAAGCTGTGGATAATAAACATACTACCCCACCCACTTTATTTTAAAAACGAAATGCAACAAATTAATGGACATATTATGCACCTGTTTATGGTGCTCTTGTGTTTTGTGTGCTGTTGGCTTAGGGTAGCAGTATACAGTAGCGTACGGTGGCCATGGGTAATATTTTTGTACAATGAATAACCCCTGTAATTATGTATCAAAACTTTGAAAAAAAATCAGCACTAAAGTTGGCAAATATACATGATGAAGTGTGGGCTTCACATTTAAAAAAAAAAAAAATCAAATTTGGTTTAATTGAGACTAAATTTTTGGATTTGGATTTGGATTTACATATCTGTGTCTACACAACAAAAGCTAGCTTTTCATGTAGTCTATTTTTGTACTCAGCACATGTGTAAATATTGTGAAAAATCCAGTTGAACAACCTATGCTAAAACCTGAGTATTTCTGTAACCAAGTAGGTGATATTTAATTTAAGACAGGTTTTAAGAAAAAAAATCAAATTTTGGGTTAAAAATCATGTTTTTCTTTGATGTGGTAACCATGGTTTTCACAAGTCCCAAATCTGGGGAAATCACTTTTTGAAAGAAAAAAATATTCTTCTAAAACAACCGTTTTCAAAATGTTGATTATAAATACATATATGCAGGATGAATCCGCTATCCATGTTTATCCGAGACATGCCTTTTATTTTTAGGATCAAGCCATTTCTACTGTACTCTGCTACCTAGATTCATACTGTGTTATTTGATACTGACAATCTAAGCCTCTGTAATTTAAATTCTAGGCAATGTATGGTATGGCTGGTGGAACAAATTACAAGAAACAATACGAGAAGAACTTGGAGAAGGCTGTTGCCAAGGGAGATTTGTCTGTCACAGAATTCCACATGAGGAAAGCTAACCTCAGAGGTCGTGACCTCAATGGAGTTGATGATGGCCACTCCTGTACTAAAGGTGAGATCACATAGACCTAGGGGTCATACATCTTTTAGGAGATTAGAAGATTTCATAAGCAGTGAAGTTGGATGTTTTTATAAAAAAAAAATCCTGAGTATTCCAGTATTTGGGACTTAATTTCAGTCTTATCCTCTTGGAGAGTTCCAGCTTTGCTTTTCCAAAAATCTCCACATATTTTCATATAAGAAACAAAAACGAATCTGGAAAATCAATATAGTATAAAAAGTTTTATAGCTAATCATTGTTTTGCATTGTTGTATTCTATGAAAATATTCATGTTTTCCCTATTTTGTGAACCTGCTGCAATATTATCCCATTTGAAAAGGCACATGCAGGCTCCAGTGAAAAGATGCAGAAAAACTCAATGGAAGCAGTCATCTGTATGGAAACTTAAGTGTAGTACTGTGTGTTGAAAATTCATGTTTCCCATCTTTACTAAGCAATACCACAGAAAATTAGGTTCTTTGATCATCAATATTTCTGATACTGACCATTTAGGCAGAAAAGTAGGCAATTCGGAACGAAATTTGAAAATTGGTTGGTTTTTGTGCATTTTATGAATGGCGTCTATGGACCTTCCCGTGGAGCAGATTACCCTAATACTGTAAATTGTAATATTATAATTCATCTGTATGACAGCATGTCTGTTTGAATTATATTGATTGGTAACATGATGTGGAAATACTCATATTTTGAAGCTCTCAGATGCTTGAGTTTCCCCAGTCATATATCCCTTATTCCGAATGCCTCTAGAAAATGTGCAAGAGCCACAACACCCTGAGTTTGGAGTGACTGACACAGACAACAATGTTGGGGGAGGAGCCTAATCATCTTTACCGTTGTGTTATTGTTCAGTTCTGTTTCAGTATAATTAAATAGTCGTTGCCTTTGTAGTAGGGAAGTACAATTCTTTATTTTCCCTCAATTAACCATGTTAGAGGTGAAAATAAAGATGGAGAGGAAAGGTAGTATATCAAGGCTGTAAGAGATCTATTGTTTGACAGGTTTAATAGGCCATCTGGAGGAGTACTACAAGACATCTACCACCAGTGTTGTGGACTACCATCTGTGTAACTCAGTCGAGCATTTCTGTGCATCTTACGGTGACAAGGGCTGGGGGTGTGGCTACAGAAACTTCCAGATGCTCCTCTCTGCAATGGCAGCTAACCCCACCTACTGTAAAATACTGTTCAACTGTAAGTGTTACAGACAACTATCTATGGGAGATTGAAAATAGAAATAAAGCAGGATGCTTAGGAATGTTAGTATATATAAAAAATGATATTGCAAGTTCCATACACTGGAATAATATAGGAATATTAACTTTGTATTGAACATTTAGTAAAAATGATGTTAAAAGGGAAAATAAATTTGTAATCTGTAATTATCCGTAAAAGTTACATGGGTAAGTTATATACTATAGAAAGTTTTTAGCCCACCATCATCTGATGGTGGGCTATTCAAATCACCCTGCGTCCGTGGTCCGTCGTCCGTCGTCCGTCCGTGGTCCGTTGTCCGTCGTCCGTCCGTAAACAATTCTTGTTATCGGTATTTCTCAAGAAGTACCAGAGGGATCTTTCTCAAATTTTATATGCAGGTTACCCTTGGTCCTTAGCTGTGCAGGGCAACTTTTGAAACTGATCGGATAAACAACATGGCCGACAGGCAGCCATCTTGGATTTTGATATTGAAAGTTTGTTATCGCTATTTCTCAAGAAGTACCAGAGGGATCTTTCTCAGATTTTATATGTAGGTTCCCCTTGGTTCTTAGCTGTGCAGGGCAACTTTTGAGACTGATTGGATAAACAACATGGCCGACAGGCAGCCATCTTGGATTTTGATA